TTCAACAAATCAAAAATAATGATAATTGGTTCAGCCGTTCTTGAGTTATAAATGGTGTAACTAACACGGTTTCGCAACTTTGTTTTATCTATTAGATAAAACTGTTAATCAGTGTGTTATGGATACACTGACCCGTTACTTGATGAAAATAAATAACACTATCCATAATAATAATTGAGAAGTTTTCACAAATAAAATTTTTATTCTAGACACGCTTCGCTAACACCGTGGCTTCATCGGTAGTAATAGTACACACACTGGGTCTACAATTCTTATATACGACAGTAGTACTTACCTCCCTTAATTAAATATTGGTAAATGATATAACAGGTAGGATTTGAAAAACCATTACAATATTTCTTGGACAGCAGGTACCTTTTGAAAATAAATAGTTCTTAACATTATGAAAAAAGGTTTAACAATGGTGAGTGGTTAACCTTTTTTGTACGTTCAATATGGAATTTCACTGTTTGCCCTTATTGATTTCCAGAGGCCTCCAGCAGGTTCAATTTATGTCCTTCACTTTCTGTAAGGAAGTATGTCGTAGGATTCGTGATTGTTCTCCAAAAGGTGGAACGCATATGTGGAACTGGTCTTTTGCAGTTCAAAAAATCAAAATTATGTGTTATGTGTGAAAATTGCTCAATTATCATCACGGAAGAATTATTGAGTTATTTATTTGAAGAACACATAGAATTTTTCAAGATCTATCAAAATATATCTTGAAATGAATTTTAATTTTCAATAACCCCAGAGAAAGTACTTCAGCAGATTGAATCTGGTGATCTTGCTGGCCATTCATTGAGCAGCATCACTATGAAATATGTGATTGAGATTCGAAAATCACAACTGAATCTGCATAATGTGCTCCCGTGTCACTATGTTGATATTTGTACTCTTTGTTGACAGTGCAACGGTTGAGTTGATTATTTAGATTGTGAAAAACAACATTCCAAGATTTTGGACAGTAGGTGCAACAAACTGAAATTGATTATTTTTCGTCTTGACTCAATATTCCTTGAGCCAGTGAAGTTATGGAAACAATATATTGAACTTTTTTGCAAATTTCAGTGAAAGAAAAATGATATAACTGAAATGATATACCATAGAGTGATATACTATTACTCTAGGTTATAACATTGACAAAAAAACTCCTTTTTTGCTCTTGTGTCATGATATACATTTGGACCCGCAGACCAAAACGTAATTTTTCGTCTGAAAAACACGGCATGTCAGAGCTTCATAGGAGAATGAAATTTTTTGTTTTCATCAAAAATCAAGTTCATAGTTGATTCCTTTGCTAATTTTGAGGTCTATATGATAATCTTATCACGAATTTTTTCATTTTTTGAATTGATCTGTACAACCTACAGGCCAGGTCGATTTTGGTACCGTAAGATGTGGTTACTTTATCCGCCTCAAAAAAATCACGTCATTCCATTCCTAATGAATATAAGGTGGGGGAAACTCGTTTATTCAAAATAGCAAAATCTGTGTATTTTCAATGTCTTCGCGCATTTGTTGGGTTTTGTTTTTTGTGGATTTATTGCTTTTTTTAAAAACCCTGCCATATTTTCTCAGCAGACTGGTGTTTACCTCAGACTGTTTCAGGCTAATTAACATTCAGTGTTACATTTTTGGTGAAACGGGGGGTCTAAACCACCTTTTTGCCCTTTTATGTTTTGTGTACTTACCGATTAGCGATTGATTTATACTTTTTTTTTTCGAAAAAATTACCTTTCGACGCCCTCGTAGAAAAGTGATAAAAATAAAAGTAGAATAATAATAAAAAAGTAAAACAAAGATCATTGGATCTAACGGGTTATTAGTCCTGGTCTGCACATTTTTGGAGATGACGTTTCAGAAATCCGTTACACGGCATGATCATTCGGTCTAAGGCTTGTTTCAAGGTTATTATTCGAGTATGCGTCTATTTTTCCATGGTGGATCTCTGACATCAACTTTTCGCACAAGTTCTTTCAGTTGGCAACACTGCAGGTGGTTTAATTTTCACCTTGGGCTTCAATAGGTAGTGTCATGAGTTCGACACCACCTATTCAAGCCCAAGCAGAACTTAGCTAGATCTTAGTTCAAATTCTATGTGAAAAAAGTTTTAATAGTCCATTTTATGGTAGCCATAATTGTCCTATCGAAAAAACTATTCGCAATGTGGTGGTAAAATTTGAGTCGACTGGTTTAGTAAACGATCGGCCAACACCCGTACATCGACGAAACGTAAAATCTGCCAAAAACATTGCCGCTGTTTGTGGGAGGATCTAGAAGAATTCGAGGTAATCGATTTCATGTCGCTCACAAGAACATATGGCCTTTCGCAGACCACAATTTGGCGAATTTTTCATCGTGACTTGTACCTGCACACGTACAAAATTCAACTGGCCCAGCAACTGAGTGCAAACGACCATAGACAACAACGTGTGTTCGCTCAATCGCCTCTGGAGCAGTTGACAACTAACCCTAATTTTCATCGAAAAATCATCTTCAGCGATTAGGCCCATTCCTGAATGAATCGGTATATACGTAAACAAACAAAATTGTCGAATTTGGGACGATACCAGTCCACATGAGATCCAAGAGCGTCAATACATCCTTAAAAAGTTACTTATTGGTGTGTATTTCGGGCTGGTCCATATTTCTTCAAAAACGGCATTCCCGAACAATTTTCTATGGCAGGTATTTGTAGAATTTATTTAATTAATAATAAACGTTTTGAAATGGACGACACTGTTAGTTTTTTCTTCACTGGTAGTTTTTGTTGAATCTAGTTGTCACAGAACAAAAAGTAGATAGTTTGCCACTGTCACTTCTTCACGAATTATTATTCAGTAATCCTTGTTCACTGTGTTCCAATGAGGTTCCAATAAGGTTTATTCTACTGAAGAAAGAATAGAAATTTTTGCAACCTATTGTCGAAATAATGAATGTGCTAAAGGTGCTGCAAGAATTTATAATACGAATCATCCAGACCACAACGTGAGCCATCAATACGTTGAACAGAAGACCTGCGACAGAAAATTGCTCGGGAATGCCGATTTCCGACTCCGGACATCTTCAATAATATAAGGAACGCTTTCGAAAGTAGACTATATTATTGTATGGAACTAAATGAAGGTCATTTTGAACACTTCATCCATTGATTGTGTTGCCATTGATAGTACTTTTGTTGATTTCCTCAATAAACTGAGCGACAGCGAATTTTCTTTTTCTTAAATAAAACGTTCAACATTTAATTTATCGATAACGAATGAACCAATTTCGAAAGAAATCACAGAAGTAATAGAGGGACAAAAGACCTCTCAAATGATGTATCACTCGACCCCCCATGCCATTGAAAAAATAGGGGGGTAGTTGTGACCGCAGGGTGGTGAAGTTTCAGGTATGATTTTCATATCAGAATTAGCCCCCCTAGAAATAAAAATTGACGTGTTCTTTGAAATTTTAGATTACACATCAGTTTCTGACTTCCAGGGGGGTCAAGTTTTCGTTGGAACGCCCTGTATTATACCCACTGTAACTTCTGCAGGCAATTGAAGTGATTTTTTTTCAGATAATAATATGGTCCGAGAAGTCAGTTTCTCGAAGATACAAATAATATACAGAAGAAAAACTGATGGTTATCAAACTAGCGAAACACTTTTCGAAATATGCAAAACAAATGATTTCACAATGTGCCGTTATATTGTTACTAATCAGTTGCGGAAGGAAATATGTTTTTGCTCATTTTTTAAAATACACGTTGTAATGCGCACTTGACATCAAGTTAGTAATACAACTTTTTTATTATTAAGTTTTCCAGAACTTTGACTAGAACGTTAATTTGCTCTAATTACTCGCTAATCAATTGCGAATATTTTTTTTGTTTGAAATAATACATGGTGTCTCGCTAATAACTTGACGTCAAGTTATCGAAAAAAACATTTTTAAGTTTTCCAGAACTTTGACTAGACTATTGCGTTTTGATTATTCGCTAATTGATTGGGGAGAAAAAAGTTTTATTTTCTTTTCGTTTAAAAAAATACATGGCGTCTCTCTAACTTGACATGAAGTTTGCAACACAAAGTGTAGTTAAAACATTTCTTTCTTCCGTAACTAATTAGAAAAAAAGAGCGTCAAATTGTGAAATCATTAGTTTTGCATGTCACGCTTGAAAAAACTGCAAAGCGATGTTCACGAGACACGCTTGCTCCAAGGCTTGTCCGATTTAAGAAGTGCTTGTGGAAATATTGTATATTCCAAAGTATATTATTTATTCCTATATAACAAAGTGAGCAACAAAGTCAAGAACCAATAAAAAATATGCTGCTGCACCAATTGTGTTCTTGATGTTACTGACGCATAACAATTGGTACCCAATATTTTTAGTGCTGAGTTTGACATTTAGATATCTATTTGGTGTAGACCTCGTGTCTTTAAAACCTTTAAAGAAGAATTTTTTTAATGTTTGGTTAAAAAAAATCCACGAACGTTACAAATTGAACTTTCTACATTTGTATATGCCTGTGAAAAAAGGCAATAAAAAATATAGGTAGGTATTAAGAAGTTATTGCATGCAATTGTGGCCAATTTTTAATGGGCAATATTATTATCACTTACATGACACTCCTTATAACGAGTTTACGGGAAAAGGTTAAGTAACCCCTAATATGAAGTAACTTTTCCCTATGAAAAATTGAAAAAATTATTCTCTTTGACCTATCTATATTTTCTTATACAATCTTGAATGTTGTACGAGTTTTATATCTAATATTTTCAATGTTGTATGTTAATTGCGAATTGATGGACTTTGCAAAAAAATGAATTTAATATATCCTAGAATTATTGCAAATAATTCTAGTCTGAAGTACCCGTTTTTTGGAAAAGAAGAAGCCTTGTGAAAATTTTTTCATTTCTCTCTTACTGATATGTCTAAACGTCATCGCGCGACTTTCCAACTTAAAAGCATACCTATTTCGCGCGACTTTTCCAGTTAAAAAGCAACCCACCTGATAACTCATCGCTTCTATCAAACTTCAACCCCTGGGAAGCAACGGAACTAAGAGCCACAGCATAATCCCTGTCGCACTTCACTTTCATAACGATGCATCTTTTCATCGACTCCAGAAGTCTCAACTCCGCATCCTGTCTGGACAGCAGTGCCTCGTGAGCGATCTTGCCCTGCAGATTCGTAGAAAATCCCATATTTTCGCGACCACTTTGAGATCACTCCTCCGAAAACATCACATAGTCACGAACCCAAATCTCTTTCGCCAAGTTCACTAAACTCGAATTATTTTAGGTGTTATTCAGATATTCACACCTTTACTCGCTTGTTTAACTGTCAGCGAAAATAGCACACTCGATACCGCACCTCAATCGAAAATCATTCGAGTTTCGACACACAAAGAACTTATCGTTTCGTTTGCGACTAGATCGGGATACCTGTGGTACGGCGCGGCATACCGTTGCTGTTTTGTCTCGGACAGCAGAGCGCGGAGTGAAGAACGTGGATTTGTCTGCCGACTGGTCAGAGCCAACTACATAGTTTGCTTCAACAAAATATTAAATTGCTTACTTCTCCGACTGGCCGCTTCTGAAGGCTTGCCGAATCGTTTTTGGCTGAATTTTTGATTCGAGTTAAGGTATATAGGGTGATTCATGATAGTCGTTGGATAGTCCTAAAAGAGTTTTGACATTTTTTTTAATTTGTCAAAAATATTAAAACTTTTTCGTTAACTGGTATGTGAAGGGTTTCTAATGTTGGCATTTCTTATGAGTCGCCTCGAATATACCCGATATAAATTATTGAACGTTTTTTATAACACCCCTTATTTTTCACTACGGAATTTAGTAAAGTATTGAAAAAAATTCAAGTTTAATATGATCACTTCTCTATGAGGTTGCAATGCTTACCCAGATAACTTATTTGGACCAAAACTAGAATATTTTTCAAACATCTCTCGGGCATTTCCAAATAATTTAAGTAAGGTTCAGCTAAGTCTTGACTTTGACTACTACCATCGAGGACTATCAATATTTCGGGAACTAGCAACACCAGCGCCGTATTAAGGCATGGGCCACCTGGGCCCGGGCCCAGGGCCCCTAGGTCCTGAGGGGCCCCCAAAAGTTCGTGTGAATGACAAAATGTTTCTCAGAAAAACATCATTGAGATTTTTGAAATTATAAATTATTGAAATCAAATTAAATTAAAATTTCCAACAAAAGTTATAATTTCTTCCGAAATTTTCTTGGGGGCCCCTGAAAAAAATAAACCAATTTAAAACCAACAATTAATCTGAATACTTTTTATAATAATTACAGTGATTAGGTAATCGCAAAAATTTTTATGAATTGGCGTAAGTTTAAACCAAGCTACATGTTAAAAGTAACATAAACAGATGTTTTTAACAGGATTTAAATGACGAAAAGTCACGACTCCCTAGACCTCCCCTTTCTAGGGGGTGGTAATATTAACTGCACCTTTTTGAAAATGAATGTATTTGGGGGGTTATTGCATAAAGTTTTACGAGGATCTCCAGATTAAAATATCTCACCCGATTCTAACGCGGAACGAAAAAACGATTTGGAATCGGGTTGGAATCGAGTCGGCCCCCTTTTGGTATATCCAGTATATCGACTGAAATTTCTTGAAAAAATAGTAATTTATATTTTTTAACGTATTTCTGTCAAATTTGAGTCATTATTTTGACAAATATCTGAAAAATGGACGTTTGTGAAATAATCTCAAAATAATGTTCTATGTATTAAAAAAAATGTTGAATATAATTATTGATCATCCATGACAACTTGATTCAACAATTAAAACATGTTTACGTACTGTTGTACAAGTTAGAGTCGATATCGCCAAAAGAAGCCACCTAAAAGTTTGCGTTCAAAACATTTCTTGCACGTTAATTTAAATCTGCCGCCACTTATATTTCGAAATAAAAATGAATGTATCAACGGTCGGTAATGATTTCCCTCTGTCGGTAATACTCTGAGTTCGATGTTACTGGCTGATAGTTCAATCGACAAAAGCCTGTTGTTGAGCATAGGTTTTCTACAGAGGTCGTGAATTCAATTCTGATTAAAACGTATATAATAATGCAGACATTAATCTATTAATTTCTAGTTTACAGGATAAGACTATAAGACGAACTGACTTTCAGCGAATTGATGAATATAATTACGTGATTTTCATTACGTATGAAATAAAATATAATATGAGTTCAAGTTAAAAATTAATTTAATTTCGATAAAATAATTGTCATTTAATTTAACAGGTTGAATCAGCGCAGAAAGATGTCAGGTCGGACTTATCTGAGCGGCGCGGCAAAGAGACGAAAAGCTGCGGAAGAAAAACTTTCGATAGCATAGTTGCCCAATCTGACCCAATATTTGTCGTTAACAACAGCTCAGTCACCACCACCTGTTGCTGAAAAAGATGACACTCCATCGACTTCGGCAGATACTGCTGTTCCGGAAATTCGGCCCCCCAGCTGTGAAGAGACGCAACAACCTCCAACTGAAGGACTGCTGGAAACTCATCAGACACCAAAACATGTTTCTAACGACCCAGCGAACTGGTTGCAGTTCACCGAGGAAGATCGCGCTGTGTGGATCAGTAAGGGCCCGGAATTTTTCCAGAACAGAAATGGCGATTTCTCCGATTCTGCCAGAAGTTATACGGAACACGATGGAAAAGTGAAACTTCGATGCCTGAACCCATCGGTGTTTTCTCGGAAACTACAAAACGGCGAAACAGTTGACAGATCCTGGCTTGTGTACTCTCGATCATAGAAAGTTTTGTTCTGCTTTCCGTGTCGACTCTTCTCACCCGCGTGTACCGCATTCAGTTCTTCCAGAGGCTTCAACGATTGGAAACATTCCGGGGCGTGCATTTTGGAACACGAGAACAGTCCAGGACACAGGCAAGCCATCTTGACTTACGTGGCACGGAAGAAGAGCGTTGGTCTTGTTGATGAAGGTTTGGCTACTCAACTGAACAACGAAATGACTTACTGGAGAGAGGTGTTGAGAAGAATCGTGGAGGTCATAAAATTCTTAGCATCCAGATGTCTGTCGTTCCGCAGGGGCAACGAAGTCAACGGATCGCAACATAACGGACATTATTTGGGTGTGCTGGAACTGTTAAGCAGGTTTGATCCATTTTTTGCCGACCACTTGCACAATCATGCGAATAAAGGTACAGGACATGTTCCTACTTGTCAGCACCCATTTGACATGAGTTCATAGCTATAATGGGACATCAAATACTGAGCCAAATCATTTCGGAATTGAAGAAAGCGAAGTACTACTTGATAAGTGTCGACTCTACCCCTGACATCAGCCACGTCGATCAGCTCACTTTCGTGGTGCGGTACTTGAAGGACTGCTCCCCAATAGAATGATTCTTGGATGTCATTCCGATTGAACGGCATGGAGCAGAGTACCTGTCCGATACCGTTGTATCTTTTCTTGAAGAAAACGGTATAAATTTACAGTACTGTCGTGGGCAGACATACGACAACGCTCCAAACATGGCAGGGCAGTATAATGGATTACAAGCAAAGCTTGAGGAACACTGCACCTGCGCCCTGTTCGTCCTATGTCTGGCGCACAGCCTGAACCTCGTCGTTGGGCAGGCCGCTGGGTGTATCATAGAGGCGACAAGCTACTTTCAATTGCTGCAAAAGTTGTACAGTTTCTTCGCCAGTTCTACACATCGCTGGAACGTGTTGAAGAAGTCTCTCGGGGAAGGTACAGTGGTGAAACGACTTTCGGACACCAGGTGTTCTGCGCGCACGGATGCTGTATCTGCATTGCACAAGTGTTACCCAGCAATAATCGACGCACTGAGGACCATGGATGACGAACGCGAAACTCTGGAAACGCGAAACGGAGCTCGAGGCATTTTGGCGATACTGGAAACGTTGGACTCTGTTCTGCTGACCGAGATGTGGAGCAACATTTTAGTCAGGTGCAACGAGACGTCGAAGAGTCTACAGAGTGAAAGTCTTCCTCTCGACGTAGCCCTCAAGTTGGTGGAATCCCTGCTTGCGTTTGTGGAGGATCAACAAGACATGTTCGAGACCTGCATTATTTGATGCAGGAAAAAATGTTTGGTGATCACATACCTATCTATGACATGTACAAACTTTTGAAGAGTAACAATCATGCTGCCACGTTTCCTAATGTAGAGGTCGCGTTAAGAATTTTCTTGTGCTTAATGATCACCAACGCCAGTGGTGAACGATCATTCTCCAAACTCAAATTGATCAAAAACGAACTGAGGAATAGCATGAGCCAGGAGAAACTCAAATGGTTGTCACTTATGAGTATAGAGAACGATGTCCTTAGAGATTTAGATTTCAAAGATGTAATCGAGGAGTTTGCCATTCGAAAGGCCCGAAAAAAACCTCTGTAATAAATGAAATATTGTAAAAAATATTTGTAACACGTGTTTTCGTAAAAAACATTTTTTAATGGGGAGGGGCCCCCAACGGTGACTGGCCCAGGGCCCCGGAAAACCTAAAAACGGCACTGAGCAACACTAATGTCAGTAGGTAAAATGTGGCAACACAATAATAAAGTAGTAGTAGTAATGGTAGTAAAAATATAAATTTCAAAAGAAGGTTTTCGTTGGATTATTTTTCACAACTTTAGACGTGGTTATCTCAACAAGAATGTGTCGATAAACTCAGTTTTTGTATGGCGATAAAACACCATCAAAAACCGACACAGTGGATCTATTGTCTTGCAAGATTTGATTACAGACTAAGGAACATGTAAAATTGAAAAGATTGTAAAATAATAATGAGATTACGATATTGAAAAAGATATATTTTTAGGAGAGGTTAATTTTTGGGAAAGAAAGGTCTTGGCTTTCTACTTCTACATCTTGACACATTCCCACATTTTTCTTATCAAGATTGTGAAGTAGAAAGCTACAACCTTTCTCTTCTCTTTTTTCTTCCAAAGATTACGATATTTTAAGCACTTTCCGTTAGCAACTTGATCGGACGGCGAGTTTCTTAAGTATAGTACCAGTACCAGTTTTTCTAAATGACATATCTTTTCAGTATTATTTTTTTTCTGCATCATTACGAAATTTTATGGTTTCTGCTAGATGGTTTGTGGATATGATGAATTTATGACTAAGGGAGTTTATGAGTCTGTTATATTTTTACTTGTTTGAATATGATGAAACTAGAATTTTATTTCATTATTTCTCGATTCAATGAAAAACATGATACCGTATATTTATATTCGGTGAAATAATGATTCTGTCAATTATGTTAATTTTTGAGCGTCCACTTTTACCATCAACGGAACAGTTACCTACCTCTGAAAATTGTAGGTAACGACCGAAAATATTATTTATAGTAATTAAATAAATGTTTCAATAAAAAGAGAATCTATGTGCATTTCTTGAAATGACGAATATCGTTTTTTTGCGTACCTCAGTAACAAACCAGTAAAAAAACATTTAAACATGACAGTTACCCCGTCCATAAGAATTTCGGGCTAACTCTGTGCTTCCCTGAAATCCTAGGAGGGATTTGTTTTAAAAGATTTTCTACCTAAAAACTAGGTTCTGTAACACTTTTTATCCGGCAACTTAACGCGTTAAAAACTACATTAAAAAAAACACTACCTCATAGGTGGCGTGGAAACGTGTGCATATTATGACGATTACAACTTTTACAACTTTTGAATTGTTATATCTCAAAAACGGTGGCTCGTAGAAAAAAAAGTATCGATACTTTTTTGTAGATAATTTTATGATCTATATGTTATTTTTATGATAAAACAGTTTTGTGAAAATCGCGAAAAACTGGTTTTTTTTTACCTTTGACTTTGAATGACATTTTTTTCTTACAAGGGAACGATGGAAAACTTTCAAACTTTATTTTTAATCATATTTTAAACAATCTTACTGATTTTCAGCTTGGTGGGAATTTAGGTAGCTTCGAATGTCTAAATTGACCGGACTATGTTTAGTATTTCTGGATTATAGCAAAACATTCGACACTATTGATCACGAGATTTTGTGTAACACACTTGTCTACTTTGGGTTTTCTCAGAAAACAGCGGCGGCGGCTCGTCAGAGGAGGCAAGGGAGGCTTAGCCTCCCCATAAAATTTGAGGCTATTCATCGAAATAAAACAAATAATTATGATTATTTTTTTCTAAAATTGCTTGGGTATCATATCTTTACCATTAATTTTCAATATAAATACATAATATGCCCAAAAAAACACTATCGCTCACTACGTAGTACGTACCACACTGTATCCTGCATCAAAAAACCTCAAACGCACCGCCCATGAACGAATAACGAATAAACCATCAACCCGTAATAATAAATGCCATACGTTGCAAGGGAGCCAAACTTCCGACCGTTTTAAAAAACACAAACTTCGCGAGGCCGATCCAACCAGCGACAAACGTCCGGATTTTTACTTTTAGTTGCAGAAATTATAGCGTTAGAGGAGGCTAGCCTCCAGTTAGTCTCCGTTAGTGTACGGCTGCGTTTGTTTTATATTTAATAATTCGGACGAGATGTCGTGACGGCAGTATAAAACAGGCAGTATTGTATTATAGCAGTGCTTTTTGGTAATATTTCCAATGTGTTTTTAAAGTGTTTTCAGGTTTTCACTTTTCGGTAAGTTTTTTTTCCAATTATTACGGATAAGTTGGACGAAATTAAAAAATCTGACGATATAGTCGATTGGTTGCTGACAAATAGTTTTAAGTCTTTGTCTTATGATAATAAATTTTACATTATTAAAACTTTGGGAAGGCCTCAACAAAATTTGATTTCAATTAAAGCGTCAGATAATCTACGAAATCGAGGATTCAATATTAGTTAGTACGATAAAAGCGATTGGTTAACCGGCTCCATTAAACGAGAAAAACTTTTTTGTTGGCCCTGTGTTTAATTTTCCGTACAAACCGGATACCAAACGTGGTCTAAAATAGGATACTCCCATTTAAAAAATTCACCTCGTTCTACAGAAAGGAGTATATATTTTCGTCTTGTAAATTAAAATTGTTAAGCAAACAAAATATAGAAACAGCTTAAAAAAAAGCCATAATTTCTTTTAATAATCAGGTTAGGGAAAATCGGTCGAATTTAAAAAGACATCGATATTACGATTTATTTGGGTTCCCCAAAACTAGCTTTTCGCGGACACGATGAAACCGAAGATTCGATTAATCGCGGCAGTTACAAGGAACTTTTAATGTTATGGGGCAAATATGATTCCCAATTTGTCACTTTTTTAACGGTAGCGTTTTTTTGGGCAACTCAAAAACCATCCAAAATGAGCTTATAGACAGTGTGACATATATTATTAAGGAAAATATAAGCAAGGAGATTGAAATTTTTAACAAAACTGTTATATTAGAAGAGAAAAATAGGTATTATTATTTATTGACTGAGAGGAGTTCATTTATATCAAATAACTCAAAGACAATCCTTTTTCCTTGCTTTTGTTTTTTCTTGTTATACGTATAATTTTCAGCAATGCACAATTTTTGTTTACATTTATGCAAATATTACGTATTTTGCTTTAAATAGGTCCGGTACCCCAAAAAATTTTCGCGCCTCCGGCGGGCTTTTCTGTGTGTATATAGTCTTTATGACTTTAGCCTCTCCTGTTCTCCAATGCACGAGCCGTCACTGGAAAGCAGAGTCACTTTTAGGAAACTATCTGAAAAATCGTACTCAAAAAGTTGTTGTGGATGGAGTTGTATCGGATGGTCTACCGGTATCAAAGGGAGTGCTACAAAGATCTATCTGTCGCGCTTGCTTTTTAGGTTATACATCTGCGATTTTTATCAATTTTAAAAAAATAGCAGTAATCATCACTATGTCGACGACACGCAGTTATATTTCTCTTTTCCGCTTCGTGATTCTACCTCTGCTCAGTCATATATTGATAAGGATCTTCAAGCCATCTTTGACATTTCTACAGCTCATAAGCTCAAGCTAAATAATAATGTTTGGACCCAAGAAGAACAGAGAGCTCACCAACTCCACTTTTCAAGTCGGTATCGAAGATGAAATACTTCCCTCCGTGACCGAGATGAAAAACTCAGAATTGTGGTTTGATCTATAATTTCGCTTCACTAAACATGTCAGCTATCTGAACCAAACTGAACCAGTGTTCAAGTGACTTGGCACATTTGATTCCACCAAGAGCGGTACATATCAGAAATACGCGACGGACTGTGGCTGCTCATCATTTTGAGGTTTAACTCAGTACACCTCGAACTTCACTGTTTCAAAACCCTTTCCTTTGGAGAACGGTGTTTATGTGGAATAAACTTGAGAACGTTTTTCCAAATGGATTGAATCTCCAGCGATTCAAATCCAAAACACAAGCGCTACAGGAAAATCCTTAAGGATTCTTAAAAAAAAGACACAAAACTTTTCAAATAGTTTGTTTTGTTTGTATTGGAAAGAAAGTACATATAGACGACAAAACTGAGCATTTGTCAATTTTTGTTTAATACCCGTAATCTACATTTCATATTCATTTTATATTATATGATTTTGATTTTTCTAAACTAACTCAACTATAACAAATATAAATGAAAATGTTTCGTTTTGTTGGAAATACTGTTTGAAATTGTTCACCCTGTATTAAACTCTCGATATAAAAGTTTGGTTAAATTGAAAGTAATCAGTCGCTGTCACTGTCACTAGCAGTTTGGATAATTCGCTAGTGGAAATTTAGTGCACTCATTTACAAAGCATCATTTGCATGCAGAGACATCAAAAGAACATTTAAATAACTGACACATTGACTTCAAGTATGCCAAGAAAGAGACTAGCAAAACATCCTAAGAAACATTATGCCAAAAAGTGATCCTCCTACAAATAAGAAGAACGTTTTTTCAAATTTTGTGTACCAGACAAACTACAGGTTCAGGAAGGGTTTCAAATCTGGATCATTCGTCGATAGTAAGAATTATACCGATAAACCCATTCAGAACACTAGTACCCAGACAAATTTTTGTTCGTCTACCACGTTAAATCTAAGTGTAACTCCTAGAAAAATAGATATTTTTAGAGAAAATTGTACTCAAACCAGTAAGACGGTCATCGTTCAGAGTCCCAAAGATTGTGGTACCGATAGATTGTCCATGGATAGTTTGAGCCCAAGATATGATGGCAGAAGACATTGCGCAGGTGATACTTTGGAGTTAGCGAAACAACCAAAGAAAAACCCTGATATGCCATTTCAGCGAAAGACAGACGTGATACGTTACCTGAACCAGGTATTGCTGTCAAATATTCGTTATTTAGATATTAAATATTACTGGAGTTCTATACCAACACCAAATAGTTATTTTCAACACCTCGACACGTGTTCAATCACCAAATGATCACCTTCAAGAGCTTGAAGATGATCACGTGTCGAGGTATTAAAAATGATGGTTTGGTGTTGGGATAGTAATATTCATTACAACACCAAAGGTTCCAAACAATGCATCACAAGTATTTAGATATCAAGTATATATTATCATTTTTAAGAACCACCTAATAACTATATTTTGGTCTTAATTGAATACGTATCTACTACATTTTTTTTCCAAAGTAATAGCAAGGAAGCCTTGATAAGATGAAAATTAGTTATGGTCATGCCTACATTTTTAACACCTTACTTTGTCTAGATCAGTTTTTCACGAATTCAATATTGGTTGGATAGATCTTTATTTCATCCATTGAGATTGTGAAATCAAAAATCTTACTTGTTCTTGGAATATCGAACACTTCTTGGGTGTGTTAGGTAGATGTTCTTTGTGGTGCTTTGCAATATGAAATGGACACAACTGATTGTTTTCAAACTAAAACAACTGAAGGTTGAAATGAACTTGCTGAACTCCTCGATAACACCTCTTTTCAGCATGTTTCAGATGAGTTTAACGTCGCTGGTGTTTATTGATTTTTTTCTTTTTAGCTTTTTCTGCACAATGTTAGGCACACTCTCCACAATGTTAGGTGAATGATCCTTAAGTCTGTGAATTGTGAGCCCTGAACAGAGGTAGTGAGACAAGAACAATAGAATTTTGCCTTAACTTGTCCAAGATTTTTGTCCTATTACATTTAATCGGTATAATCTTGGGGAATTTATCATTCCACCAAAAATGTTTGTGACAATACTATTAATTTAACTCAACAGTTTGGATAGATCCTGCAGAGTTCTGAGAATGAATCTCGAAATTTCAACCAATTTTTCTTCTCTTTCATCCCATCTCGATCTGAAAACTACACGAAGGATATCCTTTTAGTATGATGTTTGAGCAGGACTACATCAGCCTGTTTTGGATACTCCTGTTTAGCTTTCAGTTTTCTATTCTAACTTTCAATTATTATTCCATGTTGTTGACCTTCCTCTGCTCTGCGTTGTGTTTCGCTAGTACAACGTTTTCAGTTTTTTTTCAAATCTGGATATCTTTCTGAAGACTGTATCGAGGAGTGACTCATACGTAATAAAAAATAAATATTTCGAAATATTCATCTCTTCTAACTACCCATACCATAGGTTCTGGTAAATGCCTGCCTGTCTCTCATGGTCCCGCTGCTGGTTGAACGAGAAACATCAGCTAGATTTACGTATGTGAAGTATCTTGCATGAATGTATGTCGGATATTATTCAATATCCAGCGTGGTATTAGCAGGAGAAGAAGTTGTTTTCCGGCAGGCAATCACCAGAACCTACGTGTAGATAGTTGGGAGAGATAAATATTTCAAGATTTAATTTCGAAATATTTATTTTCCAGTACGTCATTTTCGGAAAGCTATCAACTCCAAATCGTTCAAAAAAATTTCGTCAATGACTTTATGAAAAAAGTCGGCGCCAAAAACAATTTCTGTCTAGTTTATTATATATAACTTATTAACCCCGAAAGTTAACTCGGCTCGACCGACACTATAGACCCTCCCGTTTATATTCTGGTCAACAAGGGCCTTTCAGTTCAAACTTTTTTCCGCCTCCTATCAATGATTTCAGCTTATCAATTCAACTTAAAGTCTATTATTTTATGAATTTATCTTCTATACTTATAAATGCGAAAGTCACTCACTTAACACTCACTCATTCATCTCTGTTTCTCCGTACTGGTAAGTCCTAGGTAAGACTTAGGTCTTTGATGCGCACTAAGAAAGGATTTCCAAATATTTTAAATGGGGCGCCACCCGTGGGGCAAAATGGACACTCTTACCTTACCTTTTCATCAGTTTCTCTGTGCCGCTATATTTTCGAATGCTGAAATTTTGTATTTAGGCTCGTTTTATGTTGTAGATGTGCAATAAGAAAGGATTTTCAAATATTCTAAATATGAAGCCTTCCTGGGGATAAAAGGGGGGTGTTTACATAAGAAAATGCAGGTTTGGTTTATGTTGTAGATGTGCAATAAGAAATGATTTTCAAATATTTCAACTGGGGTGCCAGCCGTACCGCTATAATTTCGGATGCTGAAATTTTGTATGTAGGTTCGTTTTATGTAATAAGAAAGGATTTTCGAATATTCCACCTGGGACGCCAGCCACGGGAAAAATGACGCGTTCATAAAATGAAGTTACCTTTTCATCACCGTTTCTCCACACCGGTATATTTTCGAAGGCTGAAATTTTGTATGTAGGTTCGTTTTATTTGGTAGATGTGCAATAAGAAAGGATTTTTAAATATTCCAACTGGGGCCCAGCCACGGTGAAAAAAGGCGCGTCCAAAAAACAAAATTATCTTTTATGTTCCTCCATGCCCTCAAATTTCCAGTGGGTGAATTTATATTTAGTATCAGCATTACACCCGGTATGAAGCCAGGGTGGGTCGATAGTTATTAATAAAAATAAGTAAACAAAAAAATATTTCCTTGACTTTGTTAACCGTGGCATTTTACAAATTGAAAATAAATTAGAAATTGTGTTTACTTTCATTAAGTTTTTTTTTTGATAATTGTTCACTTTTATTAATTTTTTTAATTCCATTTTAGATTACTGTCATTTCTGAAAACGTTTCATTGATGGTGGCTTATAATCTTCAGTATTGTCATATTCTTCATTCATTTTAACGCTCTCTTCGCCCCAGCGTCTGAATGATAATGTAGATGACACTGCATAAAATGGTCAGTTCATTGATGAATTACTATAATACCCAAGAATTTATTATCTCAGTTGCCTTCCCGAAAAACCCATCGGATCATTAAAAATGTATCCTACATAATCGACACAAATCCAGAAAATTTGATCTACGATGATTTTTACATATAATAGCAGGGGAGCCCACGATGCAAAATGGGTATTTACTCGAGCGTCATTGAGACATATTAGGTTGCAAAGCTTAGATGATAAGAAGGAAAAAATGTTATATAATATATAACTTTTCATCGGTGGGGGAAGCGACTATAGATTTTTAAATATGTAAAAAAATACTGTTACATGGACATCTCGAGCGCGTCAGATATTGATAGTATCAATGTCCTACGTATTTTTAATAATGTTGATATGTTAATCTGATCGTTTGCATGATGTGGGTGATTGTACGTATGGTTAAAAGTGAAAAGAAAAAAAGTTTAATCGAGCGCGTCAAATTTTCTAAGGGGATGTTAAGTGCAAAGAAAAAAAAAGCTCTCATTCAATAATCTGACGATTTAGATCTGACGCAAACTCGCGGCCATTATTATAATGTGCAAAAAAGATCGCCATTTTGAAATTCTCAAGCGCATCAGATTAAGATATATTAGAAAAAAATAATTGTTTATAAGAAATTGTTTATTAAATAAACAATGAAGATTTAAATGAAAACAAATTTTTTAGTTGTCAAAGAGCAAAAGCATGTAAAAAAAAGATTCACTATCATCAATTGCAAGTGGTAGAAATATTTTGTTAATTAACAAATCCGTTTGGGAGCAATGAAAAACATTTTTTTGAGAACGACTTTTTTTCAAATCATAATTCGCATCAGAGATTAAATTTTCAAAAAAAAATCAAATTATATTCATAACAATTTATTAAACAATGGCAGAGAAACATTCAAAAAAATCATTTTCATGTAGCTTCTGATCATAAAAAGATGGATTGGTAGTAATACTGAAAAAAAAACCATTTTCAATGATTAATGAAGCTTTTTAAAATTTCCATCTATATAAATTGTTGATGAAATGAAAAATAACAATTTTTAATGTTTCCAATAGACAAATAACTTCGAAAAAAATATCAGATTTGTTATTAAAAAACTATCGCACCTGCAGGGTTTCCGTTTAGGTAGAAAAAAATTGTTAATTGTCTAATGCATAATTAACTGCAGAATTACGATAAAAATGTTTTGACCGCGGGATCATTGTTTTTTCATTTATCCATTAAGTGTATAAATTTTTTCAATTATCAATTTTGATATTTGAAATAATATTTTTTCATTGAAGGTTCAAAGTTGCCGTGTCTTGCACAATACAGAGAACCCCTTTAAGGACGTAGGCAAGGCTTATTTCGGCTTATGCTACTCAGTTAGCTGTAGATCATTTACGTTTTTATAAATCGAAGAGGTTTTTTTTTTGTATGGAAGTGTATAATTATAAAATTATTGCAATAATTATTGCAATAATTTTAACCTCTTCGATTCATTTATTCAATAAGTGTATTCACCTTCCCAAATCTATTTATTTACGTTTTTGTTCATTTTTTGAAGTTGCCATTTTTTCTTTCATTCATCCATCAGATGATATCTAGAATTGACGAAAATAAATGTAATAATGGATTCCATGATTAGTTTTTGAGTTAGTTGGCAATACTAGTAGGGATGTTATTGCAGACAGTAGTGTACAGTGCATTATTGTTACAGTGTGTGAATGTATGGAACAATTTCAGAGCCTGTTTGTTTCATTTCTTATACAGGGTGTTCCAATCAAAACTTGTCCCTTTCCTTACCTCAGAAACGGAGTCCCTCCTTCGAGGGACTTTTCCAAATTTGTTCATTCATCATCAAGAAATTTGATGTTGAACGTTTTATTTCGTTTCTCTTATTGAGGATATCTGATAGCAAACAACAATGAGTAGGTCAATTTATGAACCTTCTCTTATATTACATAGACTTAAACCGTGGTCCGTCAATGAATTTAGGTTCTATTCACATGCATAAAGTATTTCGTCCTGTCAGTAATTAAGTAGTGAAGTTGTGGTTTTAGATCTTTTACAATTTTCTATCGATTATGTCCATTTACAAATGGATAATCCACAATATATTAGACATATAGCTAGAGTGTCTGGTGTATCTTCTTTCATTAATTATATTGTGTAGGAATCCTGTGAATGATATCTGATACGATTCCATTACGAATCTTTGGAATACAAACGGAACAGAGAAAAGTGTTTTTCGTATTTTTCGTGTAATTCAATGTTCATATGAAAATAGATGTTTCGAGAGGGCTTTTTCTTCTAGTTTGTGTCTGAAAGTTACTTCTTTGCAGTATCTACACATCTTTGTTTAGAGTTTATTTTTGAAGTTGAATGAGTCCTTCCTTTCTTTGGAAGATTTCCACATTTTTTGTATCAAGATGTGGAAGAAGGCCAAAAACTTGTTTTACCAAAAATTAAACCCTCCTAAAAATATACCCTTTCAATTTGAAACCTAGATCACATTGGGAAAGAAAGCTTTTGGCTTTCTACTACTCCATCTTGATACAAAAAAAAAGATGAGGGAATCTTACAAAGAAAGGAAGTAATCAATTTGAAAATAAGTAACTCTATACATGGATGTGTAGATCATGCAAAGCAGTAACTTTCAGACACAAACTGAAAGAAACTTCTCCTGAAACAGCTACTTTCATATAAACATCAAATTACACGAAAGAAAAAAAAATATTTCGAAACAAATACTTCTATATGAACACTGAATTATACAGAAGATACATTTCTCTACTCAGTTTGTATTTCAAACATTCGTTTCAGATTAAAATCAGATATCATTCACATGAGTTCTACTTTAAATGAATGGTAACAAATTGCACTTACATGGAACACTGTCATCCTCACTGGTATACATCGATGTTTCGCCCTAAGATACTTGCACTAAGGCTCTTCAGTACCAAATTGGACAACATTATAGAAAATACACACAATTAATTCATGAATTACGATTTGTAACGGCGAATCATCGATGTATACCAGTGAGGATGACAGTGTTCCATGTAAATGCAATTTGTTACCATTCATTTAAAGTAGAACTCATGTGAATGATATCTGATTTCAATCACTCCTAAAAATATAACCCCTTCAATTCAAATAGATCATATTATTACTCATATTTTATAAAATGAGGAAAAGTCACTAGAAAATGAAATAACGTTCGAACAGGATGGTGCATTACCACTTTTGAGTTCTGAGTATGACATATTCTGGAATAACATTTTCCTGTACATTGGATAGGCAAACGGAGTCCAATGGAATTGCCAGTTGGATCAATTAATCTGACACATTTCAGGTTTCTTTCTGTGGGTTCATCTGAACGCGAAAATTGATGCTACTGAGCTGACCCAAGACATCGTTGGAACGCTCTGTATGTTTCTTCACTCCATCCTCCACTTCCTTATTCCTGGTAGTGATCATCTTTGATTCCACCAAAACTTTGTTGTTCTCCTTTTTATGCTTTCGCGAAAACTTTCATTTAGTTTGTTAGACAAAACAAATCAGATTGCAACTCATTTTTCACTTTCTTCTATCTTTTCTCTTTTTGTTTTTCAGTATTTATAGTTGATACCGAAACTTCACTGACCTTGTTTCATTGTATCATATAATATAAAAATATACACTATTAGATGTGTTTACACAATTCCTTCTGTAGTTTTCATATGGGTTACTATCAATGTCCTCTCTGGAAAGGATTCGAATACTTCTGGCGGGTGAGGTGTCACCCGAGGACGTAAGAGTCAGTCCCCCTAAATGAGGACCTCATTCTAAAATAGGTATGTGTATCCGACCCAAAAGGATGCATGACTTTCAACACTTTCGTAGTAGAAAGTCTTGTCACAGTAATGCAGAGCTCTGTCGGGATATTCTTGCTTATCCTATCTACTCGTAAGGCCCTGCATGGACTATGAAGTAACCACAGAATCTAACCTTGAGATTACATTGGTGATGTATACTGACTGAAATCCAACTGTAACATCGGACCAAGAGCAAGATCTTCACGGTTATCCAACTTTTGATCCTGTTAATGAGTCTAGTCAGCAAGCAACTCATTGCCTCTTCAAGAGTGAGATGTAGGATATCTTATGAATCTACTTTGCACTAAATTTTCAAGCAGCAGAGAGGAAACCAACTTTCCCTGAGCAGGTCAGTAAACGCTTACGCTCAAACGCTGATTCATCCAAACCAGTGGCAAAAAATTCCGGCATGGCTGAATCTAACTTATTGGCAGGAATAGCTGACTTACAAAGCCCTTGTAAGGGAAAGTTGCTTCTGTTATCGGGTTGCTGGTCCACAGTATGATTCCAGAGCTACTCAAGAGGATTAGAAGGGTGTCGTTTTGCTGGTGGGTGCAGCTTGAAATCTATGTTTATGGGAGGGCGCCTTCTCAGAATGTGTCACGAAAGACTTAGTTGCCAGCCAAGTCGGTCTGGGAAATACAGGTCTTGGTAGCTTTGTACCTGCAGGTTCAGGTGTCACAGAGTGAACCGGATCAGGTTTTCAATGTCCCACTTTCGCCAGTTGACCTAAAAGATTATTCATCAAATAGCAATTGACTGGATTTATTTGGTAGAATTATAATAGGTGTGAGCTACAATAAACCCTCGCGGGTTAGAGGGATGTGTGGAAGAAAGAATATATTCATTCACTTTGGATCCACCCACTTTCAAAAATAGGTGAATTCAGAAAATACTATATTTCCAATGAAACCACTTGATTTGTGTCATTAATAACAATTATTTTTTATTCAGTGATATGACTCATTTTTCAAATCATTATTTATGAATTTTTGTGCCGATGAAATGAATTAAAATTGTAAATGTGTACAGTGTGAAGAAAGTCAGAAGACTCAAGAGTGTCACAGTCACCAACCTCATGGACTTCTAGCTGGAAATGCATTAACAAAAGTGTATTTGGAAAAGAATCGGAGTAAAATAGGGACCATTGCTACAGGTACAATATGATTTTTAAAATAAAATTAAGAAGACTCTATAAATGAAGTAGATCTTTTTTGCAAAATAGACCTACAAGAATTTTGCAGGAAAGCGCTGTAAAAATTAATCTGTTTCCAGCACAGATTTTCAACCAGTAACGTAGTAAAATGAGGTAACAGATCGTGAGAACTAAGGAAGTGTTACGGATGTATGATAAAAACTATTGGTATAGTCGAAGTAACCGATATAGTAATCTTAAAGGTGTCGGCGAAGTCAAAGACAAAAAAACCAATACAAAGGAATTATGCCGCAACGAATTAGTCCACGTGGACTGAAGAATTGTCGGTTCGTATTGGATAATTTTTACCAACCGAGTTTTATTATTGGCTGAAGAGTCATAAAATTAAATTTGAAGTCATGTTACGGTGACCAACAGAATGTAGCGATGAGTACCGCCGTTGTGTGTGTTATTGAAGGGTAACTGCTGGAAGGTAGGGGGCACTATATCTTTTACTTGAACTATACAGAGTGAATCAACAAGATTTCTTCGGTCCATTGCTATCAAAGGAAACATATTTTCGAACTGCTCATTTTTTTTGTAGTCATATCGATAAATAATATCTTTTAAGATTATTTTCTCACATACTCGGTGATTCAGCCGAGCGTGGCCAACCAAAGTTAAATAGAATACCCAGTATATGAATACGTCATTCGATTCCATATTTTATAGCTATCTAAGGAAGTTTTGTTTTCGAATTTCCATTGCTGTATGACCATGTTATTCCAGGAAAACCTATTTTACAGACAATATTTTCTAATTCACCACCCGCATGTCTACAGCAACTGAGTGGATGTTTTAGGAATAGTTAGCTAACTTCACTCTAATAATTTCTGGAATCTCAACTTTCGGAAACAATATATAGAGTGCTCGGTAAAGTTTTATTCATTTTTAAACTTTTTCAAATGGAATAAATACCCTGTATTTTTTCATTTGTATGAAATATTTCAACATTCCACTACATTTTTTATCAGAGGTATACTAACGAAAAACTGATATTTTACAAATTATACCAAGTCTTAGTACCTAGTTGTTGTAACCACAAAAAAATGTATTTTCTTACATTCACTTACTCAAATTTGTTTTTCGAATATTCAAACTAATCGCTAGTACATTCGCTTTTTTTATACCGTCTAGTGATAGTTATCAGCGGTTTCAAATGCGTAAACACGCATTTTTTACCGTTCTTACTTACTGGCCACGGGACACTCGCCGATGCGAATATTCGCGCGGTGCGATTGGCGAAGCGTCTAGCGACTGACACAAACGCATGGGAATGTACTTATGAAGCCACGCGTAACGGCGACCGGCGAAATGTACCGCGGCCGGCGAGGAAAACAAATGCATGAATCTGTACGGTGCGAGCCGCGGATGCGAGCGGTAGTCGCGGCGAATAGTGCAGTGATCAAACGAGTTTAGTTGTTTTCGCCGCGAAAAATGAAAACCGAGATTTTTATTGCTGAATAAAAGACTGATCAAAAAGTTAGAAATTCATTATTCATTCTACCGTCAATTACAAGTTAGAAGCTGTTTTTTGTTTTAGTTGTACAAAAAATTACTGTCATATAATTTAGATTTTTGCAATAAATAACATAAATATCTGAAAGTGTTTTTATTTCATGAAATAATAATATACAGGGTAACATTTAATTAGCTGATAATATTTTGGACAAAGGTAGTTAATGTCATATCTGGTTGAATATTCATAAGAATATAATCGAAGGTTTCAATACTTCTTCTGGTATACTCAAAACATTTTTCTGGATAGATTCTTGTGGAATTCTCCATCTATAACCCGGTTCTTATTCAAATCATGTACTCCACAATCTCTTCCAAATATTAGGTCTTGAACCAAAAAACTATTACTTTCTAAACAATATCGAGATAATTTCGATAAAGACACTTCGCTGTCGGACTATTGGTCGCGACGGCGAACGTGACTGCCCGTGTCCTGCAAACGGTGTAGCGCGAATGGTCGCCTCGCTCTTCGCTTCGTCGTTCGCACCGCCGATCCCCGTGGCCAAGCCGTTAGGTTGTTTAACCTAAAGAATATTTATACTGATTTTTTCTTTAAAAACCCAGATATCCATGACTGACATCACAAAATAAATCTCGGAATCTGTCAATAACGCCATGTGTTGAAGTTTCTTTCGCGTGTAGATTGAACCATTTTCCTTACGAATTATGTATTGGAAGATATGGTGCAAATGGTCTTTGCTTTGGAGGAAAGTGACGGAAACTGCCTCCTGGCATCTAAGATTTACAAAGAGAAGTTCCTAAAAAAGATAACCAGATGGAAGGGCATTTCAGGCTCTAAAAACAAGATTTCAAAAAACTGCTAATGTCAATCACGAGAAGTTCGAACGTGTCTGCCCTGTAACAAATGAAGAGAATTTATTTCAAATTGCTCTTAACCTTGTTGAAAATCCACATGTGAGTATCCGAGATCTGAACAGAGAATTAGGATGTTCTCAAACCAGCGTGTCTCTAATGATACGAGCAAGCAAATTTCATCCTTACCTCATGCAATTGATGCAAGAGTTAAGAGAAAGAGATTTTAAAAAGTGTTCAATTTTGCCGATGGGGCTTAGAAAAGATCAATCAGAAAAATTAGTATTTCGATTTCGTGTTATTTTTTGATGAAGCGAGTTTTCATAAAAATGGAACTTTGAATCGTCATAAAATGCACTATTATGCAACGGAAAATCCCCATTTTGTTCGTTGCCTGAACCATCAATAGCGTTGGTCACTGAATGGGGTGGAATTCTCGAAAAAAGAGTTATCGATCCCTATTTTTTGGATGGGCATCTCACTGGAAGAAATTATTTAAGATTTTTTCGGCACGAGTTTTCGAATTTATTGGACGGGGTTCCATATGGAACATAAAACAAGACGGTGCACCACCACATTTTAAAACTGAGGTCTCAACGGTCATTTTAATAAAACATGGATATGTTAGGCTGGGCCTGTGGCGTGGCCACCCAGATCACCTGACCTGACCAGTATGGATTTTTTTATTGGGGTATATCAAATGGATTTTCTACCAAACTCCTCCAACAACTATAGGAGACGTGAAAGGAAGAATCACTAAAGTATTCAGGGAAATTCCAGAGGATATGTTGAAACGTGTAGAGAATTCGTTTAAAAAAAGAGTGGCATTATGTGTTACAGAAAATGGTCACCATTTTGGACTCCTCTATTCAATAAAAAATTAAGGCGTTATACTGTTCATATTGAAAATATTTTCAGTAAGTGAACGTAAATAAATGATTTTTTTTGTGGTCACAACAATTAATAAAAGTAGGTATAATTTGTAAAATATCTGTTTTTCGTATAGTATACCTCTAATAAAAAATGTAGTGGAATGTACAAGGTGTTCCATTTGAAAAAGTTGAATTATGTCTGTTTTAAAATGAATGAAACTTGACCGATTTTACCGAACACCCTATATATTGTTTCCGAAAGTTGAGATTTCCGAAATTATCATAGTGATGTTGACTAACTATTTCTAAAAAAAATCCACTTAATCGTTGTAGACATTCGGGTAGTGAATTAAAAAAATATTGTCCGCAAAATTGTTTTTTCTGGAATAACTTGGCAATGCCGCAATGGAAATTCGAAAACAAAAATTCCTTAGAGAGCTAAAAAATATGAATTCGAATGATGTTTGCATATACCGGTTGGCCACGCTTGGCTGAATCACCCAGTATGCGAGAAAATAATTTTAAAAGATAGTATTTATCGAAATGACTGCGAAAAAAAATTGATTTCCCTGATAGCAATGGACCGAGGGATTCTTGTTGATTCAGCCTGTATATGAAAAAGTAAAAATAAAATTTGTTGACGATAAACTGAAAAAGGTTTTTCGCTTTGCCAAACTTGTCGGCAGAACGTTGAAAAATTTGCTCAAAACGAACGACTTTCGAAACATTATAAATACAAAAGTTATAGATGTGCTCAAAGTATATCAACTGAGGTTAATGTTCTTTCGTCTTTTCAATCTCTAATCATAACAAGTGTCCCTGGTCTTAATATCCGGTAGAGCAAAAGAGAGAATGAGTGAGGATATAGTTTCAGTGTCGCTACTTTTCAATGCCCACTATCAAGATATTGTTGCCTGTAACTGATATCGGAATGGTTGAATAGTAAAAAAAGTTGCTTATACCAATGACAAATTGGACGATATAGAGTAACAAAAAATATTATTTGGGGATTCCAACATATGTAGCGACATTTCAAGCGACTGAGAACAAGTGGAATAAGTTCGGTTATTACGGAATGACCCATCGAAAACGTACCAGTGAGAGATAGAACTTTTTGCAATACTACAGAAAGACATCAAGTTTGTTTGTAAGGGGACAAATTTTGACCTGGAGTCCATTGCAAAACCCTCAACTCCATAAGTGTGAGTGTTATACCATATTTTTCTCTAAATAGAATGGGGGTAGAGTGATATGTCGATATCGCTATGTTGCCCCCGTACGAGGGCTCAAATAGACCTACTCACTTTGGATCTACCTTCTCAGTAGTTCCCAAGTTACATCCTTTTTGTTAAGAAGTGATACTATTAAAACATTGAAAGTAAAGGAAAACTAGTTACATTAATAAAAAAAAAATATTTTACCGGCTTTCCTCCTCATTTCACTATCCTGGTTGAAAATCTGCGATGAAACGATATCTGATCAATTCAAGAGAATTGTTTTTCTACATGATTTAGATCACAAAATAGACATAAACATGCTTTTAGTATATTTCTGAGCTAATTTTATTGGTTTATACAGGGTGGCTACTCTTTCGATACTCACCATTAGAACCTCGTTAGTTGTAAATGATACAAATTTGATTGAATGGAAGTGAATTGTCTAATATTAATGGGCAAACGATACAAAAAGCTCAAAATATTTCATAGAGTTCTCAAGATATGTGCCGAAAACTTAAAACATGCCTTTTAATTTTTTTGACCTGAAGAAATGACGAAAAGGGTGCAAATGCCAGAAGATTCAGCATATAGCCGCAAGGTACTGCTTTGGGAATGCGTTGAATTATACCTACATATATCTACCCGCAAGCTTGCTTTATAGTATCTTAATATATTGCTATGTTGCTATTCATCCATGAGAATTTACAATAGTTATATAATTTATATTCTTATGAATATATGAATATACCGAGTGAAGAGTCGGTGCTCGAGTTGTTGTTCCCGTTTTTCCCAACGTAATAGTGACTACGATTTTGGTCTTATATTATTACTGGTGGGCGTGGCTTGGTTTCTTAATTGGATTATCTGACCTTGGTTTGGGCTAACAAAAACCATCAGACAAAGTCTAAGGTCGGCTAAGAGCCCAGAAAGCCTTTAATAACACACGTGGTACACCGGATTCCTTGTAGCGCTGCGGGTCGGTCTACATTGGAACCACGTAAAGAAATGTGGGTACCCGTCTCTCTGAACACGAAAGAAATTGTCGACTCGGACAAACCGATAAATCAACTATAGACGAATATTCTCTTAACAAAGAAGGCACTCACATTATCCTATTCGAAGATACAGTAATACTCGATAAAACCCAAAATTACTACATATAGACTACATATTACTACATATAGACAGACAATAGAAATTCAAAATCACTGGAATAATTTCAATACAAAAGAAGAGACAATGAACATTAATAAAATTTGGCTACCTGTCCTTATAGGTACACAAACAATGTCAGATAATCCAATAATGAGAAACCAAGACACGCCCACCAATGATAATATAAAACCAGACAATCGTAGTTACCGCGTTCGGAACAGAAACAACTCGAGCACCAACTCGGGCACTGTGACCATCACCACATCGCTTTTGATAATGTATGCCGTAGTAGTAGACAAAACGTCGTAGGCATAAAAACCTGCAGAACACTGTCAAACAATCCGGAAAATAACTTCCACACAAAAACGATTGGTCAAAAAATGAGTTCTTATACACCATCATGCTTAAAATCACTGAAAGGTTTTGAAATAAAATGAAACCATTCGAATCGAACATAGAACACATCATCGTATTCACAAAGTGATGATCTAAATTAGGTTAGGTCCAAAGTGAGTGGGCCACTTCGATCGTCCACTGACACCTGCTGAAGTTCATTGTGCAGGTTCACACCGATTCAAACTGGACAAAATAAGTTCATTACCTGATTACTTTATTTGATGAAATCAAGAGTGAAACTCTGTCAAATAATGAAGATTTGATTTGGTCCGCGACGGGGCAGACAAGAAGTATATGATCTGCTGTTTCATTATCTTCCGAACAGACAGGTAGTTCAAGTCTCTTCATATGGTGATTGGGACGGCATTGATCTATAAGGAGGCTTGTTAGAAACGAAGGTCATAACTGCTGTAGTTTGACAATTGCCTGGTCCGATAAAACTGCTGGAAGTGCCCTCCTGATCAGCTTCATTACCTTTCAGAAAATGTATTCTTTCTATCGAGGTGACCTTTTTTTCCCAGTTCACTTTTTTCACAGTAGACGGTGGGTGCTTGGTGGGAGCCAAGTGCTTCCAGAGCATTTATGCTGTCTGAGAATATTTGTAGTGATTGATGCATGAGGTTGGTTTCTGTCAATCTCTCAACACATACATCAATAACGTACATTTCCACCTGAAATACGGCAGTGACTCGGAGGTCAGATGTGGGAAGAGGTAGGCCTAGAAAGATTTCTATGATCGTTGACGGTGTGGTGCAAATGACACTGAATATAGGCACTTGAAAGCTTTGCTTGAGACGAAGGTGGTGATGTAACTGAACGGGAGGAAAAATATTCAGGCCATATTGAAAAAAATGGTTTTGATGGGGAACCTGAAAACAACAGATGCCATATCTATTGGAATTATAATACTGGGACCAAAAATGGAAAGGCACTTTTTTGAGTTATTTGCACAGTGTTTTGCACCTATCTTGGGAATCCTATGAATTTTCTAAATTTTTTTATATTATCAAATTGACCATTGATACGGGCGACTTCTTGTGTAACTGATTCTGTATTACAGTTAACAAGATCTTAATGCTGGGCATCGAAAAAACAGACAACTATCTTGAAAGAAAACGGTGACATTTTTCATCACCACCTAATGTAATAATTCAATTTTGACCTAGAAAACATATCTGATACTGCAAGAAACCTCGTTTCTGATCTGCAGCTGAACACCAAATTGAAAAGTCAGTCATACGTCCTAGAAAGATCGTCTGTTGTCATAAAAAGCCCGAGGCCACTGGTAAGATTCAGAGTGAAGCCCTCTTCGCATCTGCAAGTGCACGACAAGACAAAATCAATGAACTACTTTCTTCACCCGTCAATGAACATCATTTCGCCGAGAGGAGGTGACGATTCGGTTGGATCCAGAAAAAACACTTCTTTCATGTCTCCAACCATTTCCAGCGAAAGCAAAGACCAAAGTATTGAAATCAATTCTATCCAAAAGTTGATAGCGCCAACGAAAAAAGGCAGAACGCCTAGTCCCAAAACGTACAATGTTAGTAACCATTCGAAAAAAGTTCCGTACATTGACAAAAGTGAGGCGACAATTTTGATGGATCGCAAAGTTGGTGACGATGAGGATATAGCAAGAATTAGTTTGAAGTCATCCTGTAACGTAAATAAATACAAAATTAGATTTCCAGGAAACGTAGGGCACCAGGTTTTCTCACGACATATACACTCATACTCCTTTTTGGTATATTTCATTAGTTCCGTCTACCATTGTCTAATACGATATGAAATGATTTGAAATTCCCGAAATAATCAATAAAATTAAAAAGATTAGCTGAAAAATAACAATTATATTAAGCTAAAAAAAATGAAATTACATACCAGAAACAATTGAACAATTAACAAGAAATGAAAATTCAAAATTGAGAGATTTTAAGTCAAGTTACTTCACGACGGTCCGAATGTTAGTATCCACAATCGTCTTCGATTCCTCCGAGAGATGACTATTTATAGGTTTCCATATGTTGCGTATCTCTACGCAAGTTTGGCTAAATACGTTGTTGGACAACATATATACGGCCTCTTTGAATTTTCCCCTGAACCAGTGTTCCTTCTTGTGGTTGATTCCAGCTTGAGACCACTTAATGTTATATTGATGAGTCCAAACATGCTCTGCTATTTCTGATTTACTGATTTCTAATCCCTGTGTGTGTTTCTTGTGTTCAGCAATGCGAACTTTCAATGGCCTCTCAGTTTCACCGATGTAGGATTCTCTGCACTCGCAGGGTATCAGGTAAATGCAATTCTTGGAATCGCAGTCCGCATTTGGTGGCCTGGTTTTCGTGAGGCTGCTACGGATAGTGTTTCCGGATCTGAAGCAGGTTCTGATGTTATATTTGGACCCAATTCTTCTCATCCTTTTCGACAATCCTCTGATGCCGTCACTGGTTGTGACGGCTTCTCTTCTTTGTGAAGCTACTGCTGTCTTTTAGCCAAAGTCTACTTCACCATCACTTTGGAGTACCCATTCCGTTGAAGATCATTTTTGATGAATATTACTGGAGTTTTTTCCCAACATCAAACCGTTATTTTAACACCTCGATATGTGTTTCAATCATTTTTTATGATGGCTAGTTCCTTTTCGAGAACTTCCTTCGTTACAGAGTCTGAAAGCACGATCTTCTAGAGTTTTGATGATTCCTCTCTTAGTCGATTGATGGTGGTTGGATTCTTGGTGCAGATACAGTCCCGTGTGAGTGGGTTTTCGGTATACAGATGTTTCCCATTCAGTGTCGGTCCTCTTCACCAATACGTCAATGAATGACCATTCGTTGTAGACTTCCTTCCCCTTTTTGGTATGTTACTCCGTTTGGTACATGTAGATATTTTATTGTTAGTTCAGCAATAATATACATAATATAAGAGAGCTTCTTCTGGTTTACTTCTCAGACTCACAATGAAGTTCCAGACAAATTTAAACCCATTTCAATCAGATAAGTCGCCGGGTCCAGAAAATCATTGGAAGCAATAATTGTCTGCCCTAAGTAGACGCAATAAGCCAAGATGCCCTCCTACTGCATTTGTACGGCCAAGTTTTCTGCCTTACTACAATCTGGCATGATTGTAAAGAGTAGAGAAGGCATCATTACATCAAGGACTCAAACAATCAGAACAACCATTTCAACATAATTATATGGATAGGATGTGCCGTATCTGGTAGTTAAGCACGATTATAGGCCGAAACTGCATATTATGCTGGACATGCATTAACCATTCAGTTTCCGATTTCAGCCCTCTCAACCTGATGAAAGCAAAGGTCATGTGATTTGATAACCCATGGTCTTTGATGTTGTTTACGGCTTTATTATTATCATTATTTGTTCACCGAAGGGTAAGCTTGGTGGGCCCTATCGCTGAAGCTTCGACACATTCGGAAAGGCGCGCCAGCATTATGAACTAGTGACCACTTCCCACACCGTGAGGTAAGTGATCATTGCTTCCGAGAAGTATGTGTCCAAACCACACGCAATGAGCCAAAAACGACAGCCTTCTGCATTTGCCCGGGCAAAATTTCTGCCATCGTGCGGCAAGCTGGCATGATCTTGAGATTCGAGAGGACATCATTCCACCAAGAACTCCAATAATCAGAACAAACATTTCATCAGAGTGGTCTCGATAGAATCTACGAAGTTTGGAGAGAAATCCGTAACATCGTAAAAGTACTGTGGATTCTAAGAGCACCTTGTGTCAGAAACCGCTATACCCATGAAGCCACTGCGGTAGCCCAAGGTGTTATAGTCACCATCCTGACAGGTCATGATGAACTCCTCAGTTTCCGACTCCAGCCCCTCGACCTGAAGAAAGGAGAGGTCAGATGCTTTGACAAGACGAAGTCTTCTTTGTTATTGATGAAGAACCTACGCATTGGCTTATCCTTGTGTTGTCGCAGGAGTGAAGTGATGTCTACCTTTTGCTGAACGGGTTACAACTTGGTGATAAAGTTGTAATCACCTCGTTCAGTGTAGAACACTAAACCAAGTTCATCATCCTCTCGAGCAACTGCCCTAAAAAAATGCTCCAAAACATCTGCATAATGCCGTGTAAACCATGGGGTCCACATATGCCATGTATAGTCCTTTCAGAGATATACCAAATTATTGACATTTTGGTTAGAGATTTTAGCAGAGTGTGTGGAGTCTCTTAAAAATATAATCACCAAGGAAACCTATTCGAATTCTTGGAAAAGTTATTACATCTACTTATTTGTATTAGATGTGTTTTTTCTGAAGAAATATTGAAATTTATATGAAATTTTCAGTTTGTAATATTTTCACTAGTAGAAGGCTCAGGATGTGGAGTGTATTCCAGATCACTAAGCCTAAGGATTAAGTGGGGAATGGGAAGAAATACCAGCGTGGTCCAAACAGAACTGGCCGGTATCTTGATCGCCAGAAAAGAAATAACCAGGAAAGGAATTTCTGGCAAAAACATAACAATCTGCACTGACAGTAGACAAGTCCTATTAGCCTTGAACAGACAACGTATAACTTCAGGGCTAGTACTAGAGTATCACCAAGATTTAGCCAAAGCCCCGGTTGATAATAACATTATCCTGAGGTGGGTTAAAGGAGTCAAGGTAATCGCATTGCTGACTCTTTAGCCAAGGAAGCGGCTGGACTAAGATTGCATCAAAGGATGCAATCTGACTGGCCACTGTCAACGTCATTCAATATACAAAATTATATGTACAAATTGCCGGATACGTTTCTGCGCCTTTTTTCACAAAAAAGAAATTTCTAAAGGAGCAAGAATTTACATTGTGAATTTCATCGAACCATTCCTGTACCAAGTTAAATTTGTACTGGTGGAATGAAAAAAAAAATGTTAATCTGTATTTTTGAGGATCAGCATGTGGCGCGACTTCTACGAGAGAAGTGTCGATTTACTTGCACAATTAAAAATTATTCAATAATCTATTTCTATATGAGTATGGTGGACGTTCCAGTATCTTATTTAATTATCTTATTAATTATAATTGAGCACAATTATATTAGGGTCACGAAAAAAATTACCATAGAGAAAATTATGACCATTCGTTTAATGGGTCCTACATACACATATTTTATTATAATTTCTGGATTATCTAGGATATGGGCAGTATTTAGATCAAGGGAAACGGAAAATGGATTTTCTGGATTACTGAAAGGCAGTATCTCAAGCACGTTAACAGCAATTCAGCAAAGGCAATATTACATTCCAGGACGATGAGATAAAAATGTACTTAAAAAATGTCAACACTCTCATCAAAATCTTCAAAGTATTCGCTGAAGCTATTGCTATCGCTATTGCTATCTTTCATACGAAAGTAGACGTAGTGTACCTTTTTACAAACATTTCTCTTAATAAACACTAATCGATTTAAAAATAAAATAATTATTCTCCAAACACACCTGGTGTCCATTTACGTTTCTACTTCTCTCATTAATTTGATAATTCAGTGATTTCTAGGAAATATCTTCGGATGCTTCTACGATATCTACAGATTCGGCTTTGACCCAAGCTATCAGCAAACTCCGAGATCCGGACTGGTAAGATCATTCTAAATATATTTATATATTATATACGAATAAAACCAATTTATAAATTATCCAGTCACAGTTTCCGCGTTTTGTGTTATTGTCATTTTGACGTTTCGGCTTCAAAAACAGTCACTACACTGAGGTCTCACTTTGCCTACTCCTCAGGTAATGACATGCTGCAAGAGCGTTCTGATTTGACGCCGGGGCCTCAATCTGCTTACTCCCGGGTCTTGTCGTTGATCTCCGCAAGAGTCTCAATCTGCCTATTCTGGTGACGAATCATGGGTATATAATTATGACCTCAAAACCCAAATATAATCGTCCCATTGGTAGAGCTCAGGAGAGCTAAGACCAAAAAATACACGCCAAGTTTGGTCAAATATCAAGGATTTGCTCACTGTTTTCTTAGATTGCCGTGAGGTAGTGCATCAGGAATACTTGTCACATCGTCGTATGGTCAATAAGGAGTATTATCTCAAAGTTATGTGCCGCTTGCGTCCGGTATTTTGGAAAAAAAATTCATGGCTTTTGCATCACGATAATGCACATGTTCACTCCTTCATTGCTTGTTCGTAATTTTCTGGACAAAAACAACACCATAATTATGCCTCGACCACCGTATTCACCAGATTTGGCCCTCTACGACTTTTTCCTGTTCTCACGATTGATGAGATGAAAATCGAATGGGTGAGAGATCTCAAGGACATACCAAAAAGTGCATATCAGAACTGTTTCAAGGATTAGAAAAAACGTCGGCGCATCAAATAGATATTTATTGAGAAAAATGAAAATTCACCTTATTTTTTGAACAGACAGCGTACATTTACAGATTTTCAATCCAACATTACGTCTCTAAGAAACAATCACAATTAGTGAATAATACCTAGTCAATTTTTTCCTGTATTAATTAACTTTGAATCTCAAACGGTTTCCGATTTTTCCATGCTTTTCCCTATCCCAGACACAAAGTATATCAGATTTTGTAGATACTAATGAGTAGCCTAGCAGGCGCCTGTTCATCGATTTCTCTTTTCAACGCTTCCCACTCTTTGTAATTTGTTGCAGTAGTTTCCCAGAAAAGAACGTTACTGCAAAATCTGACAATAAACAAACGTAAAGTGTTTTGCAATTCCATTCATCTGCATTAAATATGTCACAGAATTCAACCGTGACGATTTTGGATTATTATTTTGTTCGAAATAGATTATACAACTTCAGAAAATGGTAGGTGCCCTAATACTACAGCAATCCAGATAAGCATTTCGACCGAAAATACGTGATTAAACTCGTAGCCAACTTTAAGCAGACAAGATCGGTGACAAATCGATGTCCATAACACGTTCAGTAGTGTTTATCGCGCTAATAACTCATCATTTCGACCAAGATTGAAGAGATCAATTATATTCAACGAAAGTCATTTTTGTGGAGGAAAAAATCAGTTTTTTATCGACCTTTTTTGGGTATTTGTTACCTTCCACAATCTGAAAAATATAAAAATTATAATGGAGAACTTTATACAAGTGTAGAAGGGCAAACAAATATTTTTCAGATTGTGGAAGGTAACAAATACCCAAAAAAGGTCGATAAAAAACAGATCAATTATGTTAGAGAAAAAGATTATTTCTCAAGAGTTTCAATAACTTTTACGCTTAAAAATTCTCCACTAAGGAAGATTAAAATAAAGAAACAATAAGGAATATCTCTTGATCTAAAACAAAATATCCATCTCGATTCAACGGCATTCTCTAGTTGAAATGATGTAAAAAATGACTTGAAAACCATAAGACTCGTAAATTTGAACCCTTGACCTTCAACTTCAAGGTCAAACTCCCATTTTTCAAAACTTTTCTCATAGATCGTAAAAATTTGTAGAGATGCAATTTTTTTTCATATTCTATATTTATTTCTCAAAAGTGGAGGAAATGAGAAAGAATATGACGATTTGAACGACAAAAACTATTAAAAAACAACAGAGCTATGAATTTTCTGAAATTAGACTTTTTTGAATGTTGAAAAAATTCTGCAGATGTTCATTTGCAATATTAGGGGCTGAAATTTGACACGAAGGCTCTTCCTACATACTATCATATAAAAAATCGAGGTTATGCATCAGTAAATTGAGGAAAAATTTATATCCGCAAAAAACTGAAATTGAAGTATCTCATAATTTTTCCGTATTCTACATCATTTTATCTAGAGAATGCCGTTAGTCCGAAATCGATATCTTTTTGAATCAAGAGATAATTCCTTTTCGATTTTTTGTTATTTTTATATCTTTTAGTGCGACGTCGGTAAATGATATTTTGCAAACTTCTCAACATTATCAACTAAAATGAAAAATGGATGAAACTTGTATTCGTAGTAATCATATTGTGGATACTTGTTAGAATAATGATTCCAAAAGATTTTCAATTATTGGAACACACTTGCAGACCGGTTTCGGGCTGTTTGGCCACTCGTCATTGCACTGTATCAGCATATATATCGCCAACAGCATATGCAGTGAAAAATCGTGCACTGACATCTATCGGCGTTTAATCCAACGCCCTTCGTGGTATTAGCCAGTGGAGTAGTTGTTTTCTGTTAGGTGTCAGTTCATTAACCTACAGTGTAGGGAGTTGAGCCTGAACGAATCGTTCTTTTAGATGATTTGGTTTAAGAAGAAAGGTGATATGAGCTTTGTTGTTGAGAATGTCATTACGAATTGAAATGCATGATAAAATATAGGGTGTTCCTTTTAAAAAATATATCATTTTATGATATATTTTATTATTTTATCAATAATAACAGAGTTGGCAATGATGCCGACTTGATTTGGAACACCCAGTGAAGTAGGCTTTATTCCGAATGCTAAACATATTTTCAAGTCAAGTCAAGTAGATTATCATAATGAGATGAACTTCAAAAATGGTTGGTAGAGAAATTGATTTCTTACTTGTCTCCGAAATTTGTGCTTGCAATTGACAAAATCCTCTCTACCGTAATGTTTTAAAGAGATAAAGCACCAAATTAGGTATATCAGCTTATGATAGACCGGTTGAGGTCTAAATGCATTTACTTCGATCCTCTTATGTTGAATCCTGATTTATATAAAAAAACTAATTAAAACACTTTATTGTATGATATTCACTATAAAGGGTTTTACGGAAACCGCTTCCTCAAGTTTATGCTTTAGGAAGCTATTGTATAGCGAAACACGTGTCGCGGTTTTTGCAAAACCCTTTATAGTGAAAATCATACAATAAAATTTATCAATTAGTTTTTTAATATGGATTTTCATCAAGTATCGGCCAGTTCTATTCAATGATTTATATAATATTGTCAATCTCAATAAGTCAACATTTGAAACCGAAATAGATGAAATTTTAACCCAGCATGGCCTTGCAATTTTGCTTTTACCGCCTCACCACCCAGACAATATGAGGAACAGAAAATACATACTATAGGTACTATATTATGTAGCAATCCCGTGAGTATCTGATTCAATTCCATAACGAATGTGTGGAGTACAAACTGAATAGGAAAAAGTGATTTTTTAATTGATTAAATGCTCTCTTCCTTGCTTTGGAAAAATCCTACATTTTTTGTATGAAGATGGAGAAGTAGAAAGTCAAAACTTTTCTTTGCTGTTCATCAAAGAGAACAATGTTCACTTGATAGGTTCATAAATAAAAACGAAAAAAAAATTAGAATCACTTAGACATACTGTGCGATTCCTGTTATTGAAGCAGAAAAGTCAAAAGTTATTTCTTCCTTATACAGTTTTTAGCTTGATGTTGTGGACCTGATAATGTTAGAATAAGGTGAACCAAATAATGGGTTGAAATATAAAAAAGTTATTTTGAAGCTTCAGTTTTGATTTTACTAGTTTTACAACTCGTAACTATATTAAAAATATGTTTGTTATCTTACGATTCAACGATCCCGAAATATATAGTATTTTGAGAGAACATTGGAAGTGTCACTAAATGGCTCAAATTAACTACTTTTTGAAGCCATCCATTGATCATGCGCTGATATCAGATTGTCGAAACTACGACTAAAGCATCCTGAAGAACTGAATTACCGACTTTGTCAGTTATTCCGTTACGAACATGTTCGGAATGTTACAAATGTGTTCGACATTCGAACGCAACGTGTAGACAATGACGGATGTACCACTTTGAAGAAGAGTATTTCCGTTACCTACATATCTAACCTATACCCAGGCTGGAGTTGATCAATTAGCTGTTCTGTTGTAAAAGCGTGTTAACCAAACTGTTTCGTTAGCGTACACGGAATTTAAGAAACACGTTATGAGTTCTAAAAACTCAAACAATAACCAATCAATAAAAATGATGTACTTTGGATTGTACCCTAGATACAAAAAGCATTTGAACAACATAGTTTTTCATTTCTCGCCAGTGGCGTTTGTGTGAGATTTACACTAAATCATTTCAAAGGGAAACTGATACGCCACTGATTTTTCTAAAAGTGATAAATATTTTTGAAACACACATTCTTTTCTGAGCAAATCTGGATTTTTGATTTCATTTTTTTTGACGAATTATTTTCGCATGAAAAAATAAAAATCATTCATTTGCATTTCGCGAAAAAAAATTCATGTGATATCGAAAAAAAAATGGAATGCTAACACAGACTTATTCTGAACGCACACAAAATAAACAAACAAATTGTTGAAAACGTCCACCTTCTGCAAATTTGCAGAAGGTGGACAGGTGGACAGGTGGACAAATTTGCAAGTACAGAGGTTTATAAATGAGGCACCAGATGAAAAATATTTCATGATAGGAATTGGTACTATTTTTGGAATATATGGAGCCTGTCGACGTGAAGAGCTCTGCCGTTTATTGATAGAAGTCATTAAATTTATGGATAAATCATTGATTTTTCAAATTCCGAATACAAAAACGAAAAAAGGTCGTTCTTTTTGCATTGTTGGAAAAAAAACATTGACTAGTTTAATAAATACGTTGCATTACGCCCTTCTGTTATCAATCATCAACGTTTTTTTTCTGAAATACTCAAATTATAAATGCTGTGCCAACCAAGTTGGTATAACCACGATTGGGAAAATGCCCTCTACCATTGCTGAGTTTCGGAACCTCCCGGAACCAAAGGAATATACAGGTCGCTGTTTCAGAAGGTCTTCTGCTTCTTTGCTAGCAGAATCAGGAGTATATATAATGGATATTAAGAAGCACGGAGAATGAAAGTCTACCACAGTAGCTGAGGGTTACATCTATCAACCTATTTCTTATAAAAAGGCTATTGCTGAAAGAATAATCCCAACAGCTAGCCCCAGCGTTACAGCGTCGTCCTCTTCACTTCAAGAATTAAATGTTAATGCCCATGAAATTGTCAACTCAGATAGTTTAAATATATTACAAGGCTCTTCAACATCGCAAGGTATTAATATCAACAGCTGTTCTAATTGTAGCTGTACTCATATTAATGTTCATAAATAATAATAATGTAATTAATGTATTAATACATTTGTAACATTTGTTTATTGCTATTTGGTCGAAAAAAAATCGTGGTAAAAATACTCTTAACACTATTATTGAAAATATTTTTAACACTAGTGTTAGTTTATTGCTATTTGGTCGTGGTAAAAATACTTTTAACACTAGTGTTAAAATTATTTTTAACACGCTACTTTGTACACATTATCTATTAATACTCTTAACAACCATAGAAAATGTTACTTTTAATTAGAGTTGTACAAAAACTATGATTCGACTTATGAACAGTTTCTTAGAATGAATTGGTGTGGTATAACCCAATGTCCCCACAGAAAATAATATAAACTATGGAGGTCCAAAGAGCGTTCTTGTGGTCCTGCTCAACATATTCAGCGATTATTGTTATTTTTTTCAATTAGCCAACCAAAGCACTGAAGTTAGCAGGCATTCCGTGGTGCGTACACTGCAGTTGATTTCCCATTTTTTCGTGTACTTCACCCAGAATTTTCCTCAACTGAATTCAAAACCGCTATCTCAATTTGTGGCGTTTCAAAATTTCGTTGTAGTTCATTCAGGTGATTGTCACGTTCGAAACTTTCCTTTTCGTGCTATCTTCTATTATTATTTGAAGATGTTTGTCCATCTGGATTATTTCTATTAGTACCTAGTCATTTTGTTCGAAAAAACGGTTTACCTGGAAGTTTTGAAAACTGGCATTTTTATAGATTTTTATATGCTCTTCAACTCTGCCAAATGACACCTTATAGAATTTTTTTTAAGGATAAAACACAAGCACTACAGAAAAACCCTTGGGGCGCTCAAAGAGCGGTGCCTGTGAGAAAGTAACGATTAACAATATTTCATAATATCTCATTTTCTACTAATTTTACATTAAAATCATTTGTATACAGCATTAAAGTAAAGAAAATGTTCTACAATTCATGTCACAACATTTTTCTGTACTTTTTGTGACATTTTTGGGCGTACGCGTCGCAAAGTGAACATGCGAAAAACTCATCCACTTCACCTTGAGTTAGAGTAAGCATCGCATTTTTTCATTGTAACTTTTCCAGTAGATCTCATCCACAGTTCTTGAATTTAGTGCTTTGATGTTTTTGATGGACTAGATGTTGCTAGTCTATCACACAACCCGGTAACGCCACTCACCGGTGGAGTCAATCGGAACACGCAGGGTGCTCCAGAAGATTAGGCCCCCGAAACCACAACTGGCTTAAGTGGATGCAGAGGTTCATATTTTTTTTTACAAAAAATGGAAAAGGCTGACAAATGGCAAAGTTAACACCGCCGTGTACAATGCCGCTTGAGCACTTTCTCTGCCGGAAACGTGAAAATACCTCCTACGCAGTAGCAAGTGCAAGTTAAGATCATGTCGGCAAGACAATACGCTTCTTGTAACTAATGTGTGATGTACTATAGGGCGGTTAATAGCTTTTTCACGCCTGCCGTGATTATCAGATAAACTAAGAAGTACCTATCAAATTTTGAGTCAAGGAGCGTTCATAACCACCAAGCATTATTGCCTTGATAAGATACGAATGCAAGTGGCTACTAAAAAGCAGAAGGTTGTTGTTGATGCCGGCACGCTCTGCGCACATGGATAATTGTTATGTTCTAGTAAAAGTAAAGTCAGCAATATCCATCACAGTGTTATTTACTATGCCGCGAACGAGACGATCGAATATTTCACGACAAGGCCGTAATGGAATTAGATTGCGAATCAATCCACTGCAGATGAAGAAGAAATCGTAGTATGAGAGATGCGCCATGTCTAGGGTTGCCAGGTATACTATTTTTGCAGCAGATTTTTGCCATGACAGAAAATCTGCTTGGCTGCTGGATTACTTTTCTACTGTTCGAGAATCAGGATCTTCTGACGACTCAATTTGATTTCTATAATAATTGTACATAGTGAAAATTACCATGCATGATTATGTATCTATTGAATATATTTTCAACCGTTTTTTGTATCATTCTACTGTTTTTCTGACACAAAATCTACTGCTGAGCATGAAAATGATCTGGCACACTGGTCGTATTAGTTTGGCCAGACATATTTCTTCAGGAATACATTATAAAAAAGTAAATTTAACTCGGCTAATGACAACACAATATTTATTGATTCTAAGGAGGTTTGGAGTGCACCAGATTAGCTAGTAATGATGTAGATAAGATGTAGAAGACTTCATCTTTGGCTCATGGCAAATGTTAAGAAACCCAACGATCACTTACCTCATAGTATGGTGAGTGGTCATTGGTTGATGATGTAGGCGCACTTTTTTAATTATAATAATATCGCCTTTACTTTTTGTTATTTTTATCATCGATTTGAAATTCTGCAGAATTCAATGAATATTCATGTGGTTTATATAGTTTTTTTTAAAGGAATACTGCACTGCGTGGACTTGCGGAAGTGGTCGAAATTGGTCGAATACTGGATTCGGACGTGATTTACCCTCATATGACAATTATCAACCAGAGGCTGATAGAACTGATCAAGAGCCCTCGATCGCATGTCAGCAGAACTTCGTGTCAAGCCATCGGTCATCTCTTCGAGTACGTTAAAGATACCAGAAGGCCAGTAAGTATTCCGGCGAATGCCTCTAAAGAGTTTAATTTGCGTGTGTATGCCTAAACGACATATCTTGGTCATAGTAATTGTCATTGAACTTTTATGCATCAAAGTTACCAGATGAGGAAAGTATTTGTAATTAGAATTATGTCTATTATATTATGGTAGGTAGTTGATAAAAATTGAAATATTGAGAGATGCATGTTTTCGAGAGTTGAATTACTCAAGTACAGGTCTGCAAATATAACTTATTGCATTGTTGTATCAGAGAAAGCAATCGATTCAAATCGTTATTGGAGCAGTTGAATGCGACGTAACAACTGGATAGAACATCCGTCCTATCATGTAAAAGGGATGAAATGCGTAAAATATCATGATCTGATTTCATCAAATAATTAATCCATGGAGGCATGATGAGCTTTTACAACTCATTATTAGATTTTGGATAATCAAGGATTATGTCTCGAGTACACCAAGTTTAATCAATTAAAATGTATGGAAATCTATAACTTGAGATTTTTCTAGATAACTATGCGAATGGAAGATGTCATGTAGAAGAGGTATCCAAAGTGAAAACTGTTGAAGTTACCGAAATGGACGTCAAAATAGAGAGAAATGATAAGAATTTTGGCGCTTTCAGGACATGAAAAGAATATCAAGCAGATGAAGAGAATCAAAATTATCCAGTGATAAAAAAGAGAACTTTTGTTTAAGAATCGTAATCGGTAGAATTGATGAGGAAGTTGAATCAAAATATAAAGAAGAGTTATGAGGAATGGTCTTTGAGAAAGCAGCTGACAAATCATAACTTATTTTTAACAGATGGCGATATTACTGAGTTCACCTGAGCTGCTGACTAGTTGCTTTGGAGAGTTATGCTAATGGCTTTGTTGTTTCTGATAAAACTGTTTTTATTGAAATAAGTATTCTCTGTCTAAGAGGAACTGGTTGGCTAATCATATGGGTGTGCTGGAGTTGTCTTTTCAGTTCAATTACCCATTCCTCAACTCCACTTCAAATTTCTTTATTTTCGACTCTAACCTAAAATTATTCCTCTCTCTATCATTTACTCTCCCCAGTTTTCAGACTAACCTTTCTTGTGATCCTGTGTGTTTTCTCTGTACTTCTTGGTACAAAAAATATATCAACAACTTGTTGTTCTTCAGTCCCTGATCTTAATCTAAACTAATCTGTCTTCTGTGCAACAGCCTCGCACTTTTATTACTCAATAGGACTTTCAAGATCATTTCGAATTTTTCATACCGGATCAGGATGACTAATTATTCTCCCGCTTCCTTACGCGATGTAGACTACCAAAGATTCGTTCCGCCGTTGAGCCAGTGGACCGCCTAACATATCCAGAGGAGTAACTATTGCTAATAATTTCAAATTTCATTATGAGGTCAATTTGCCGCCATATTCCCAGAAGCACTGCATGTGAGTAAAAACTCTTTCCTTTTCAAGGAATTCGACGAGCTAGTTGATTCGCTGCTCTTTAAGTGTGCGGACTCAAACAAGTTCATCCGCCACGACGCCAACCTAGCGCTCGACTGCATGGTCACCCATATCCCCACTTTCCACTCTATCCGGGCGATCTGTACCAAAGGACCGGACCATAAAAATCCCCTTGTTAGGATTGCGGCAGCAAGATTATTGGTGTGTGCTATAGTCATTGCTGGTGTGCAGAACATTCTACATCCCCAAAACAACGAGTTCACCAGGAGAAGGATAATTCTCAACATGACCAAATTTATGAACGATCGAGATGCAGAAGTCAGGTGTAGTATACGATACTGAATTTTAGAATAAAACTCATTAAGATATTTGGATCATACATTATGATGTTATAGTTGGTATATTCATGACAAATCAATTAGGTAAAGATGATGCAGAATATTGTTCAGAAAAGATCGATAAATTGTAATTGTAGAGGAAAAATGATCAAAATAATTTCAGAAAATTCTAAAATGAAGTTTTCATAAAGATATTCAAAGAAGGCAAAGATTATTTGATAAATGAAAAAAAATAATTATCTATACAACAACCTAACCTAACGAATGTTAAACGTAGTGAAAACAACGAATCAGTGAACTTATTAGATTATTACATATATTAATCAAAAAAATTGTGAATATGTTCCCAGAATTATTTGAATTCTGTTTTATTACATATCAGTTGTACCTCCATACAGTGTCAAGAATTATTACAAAATTGAAAAATACATTCAAAAAGTTTGCTGCAACTAGCTCTGTTATTAGATTGTTTCAAAACATTTGTCCGTTTTTATGAGTCTACTTTAAACTGTAATATATCAGTGAAAACTTATTCAATTTGATCCAAATACGCGCCATTTCAATCAGTGCACTTTTGCCAACGTAACACAAACATAACACAAAGTAAACACAAAATGAATTCAGTCAGCATAGAAATTAAGAGCTAGAGTTTCGATGAACTCGACGAAGGCCGATTTCGCCTGGTCCTGATTGGCAAAGGTTCTGCCGATGAGAAAGTTATCGAAGTGCTTGAAAATATAGTAGTCGGTTGGCAAGATGTATGGAGAGTATGGAGGGTGAGCCATAACTTTGACGCTCAATTCGCTTAATTATCGGACGATGATTTGTAAAAGCGTGCGGACGGTCGTTGTCGTGGAGCGGGATCGGATTTCTTCTGTTGATGAGTGCCGGCTGCTGGTGACGTGATTTTTTGTACATTTCGTTGATTTCCTCACAATATATGTCCCGGGTCGCAGTAAGTTATAGTGAATCACACCGGTCACTGACTACCTTATAGCAGCTATGGTCTTTTTTTTGTGGGTTTTCGCCTTTGGGAAGTGCCTGGGTTGCTCATTGGTTTCCAACCACTGTCCTGAATGTCTCCTGTTATCATCGAGGATTCACTTCGTAACGTAACGATCCGATCCAAAAAAAGGATCATTTTGGTCGCGCGAAAGCAAAGAAGAACAGACCTCGAAACGTGACAATTTCTGTCATTCATTCAAATCGTGGGTCACCCACTTTTCGCGCTTCTTGACCTTTCATATAAGTTTTAAACCATCAAAAACTGTATAGGTGCTGACGCTCAGTTCTTACTCTATCCCACACGCCGTTTGTGACGGATCTGTCTCCACCATGATCCTCAAATCCCCGTCCTGGATTACTGTAGGTCAATCACCTCGGGGCTCATCTTCGAGGCTAAAATCTCCGGAACGAAATTTCGCAAAACAACGTCGGAACAGTGCGTTCATTAGCACTATCATTACCAAATGCGTGGCTGATTTTTCGGCAACGCTTCAATTTGAATTCGTAGAGAAAAATTAGCCAAAAATTGTTTGACGACATCATAAAGCAATAAGCTGAAAAGGGGCACACCATCACACCATCAATGTATAGGGTACAAAATTGTATATCGATCTGTACTGTTATACCACGACACAGTACAATAAATATTTACTGAGCTATGGAGCTACAACCTAATACAAGTCTACTGAAATCATCACTACATCATTGTCTCAACACTTCCAAGGCCATCTGAAACTATTGTCGAAAATATTTTGCAGAAAGAAGAGTTGTAATAATTGAGAACTTTCATTTCACATCATTGTTTTTACGTGATAGAAAACGCATGTTGAAATCGTTAGACCTCGTTGATCCATGGTTCGATCTAGTTTCGAATTCGTATAGGGTTGAGAGCTGGTTAACGAAAAACCTCATTTCATACGGTAGTCGACTGGTTATCGTCGGTGATTGCTTCTACTCATGTAATCAACGGCCATTGCGAATGCAGAATCTATACTTATTCTGGAAAGGTGGGTGGGTATTCACTGAGTATGATTTCATCCGTACTAGGTCGCACTTTAAATGGTACGATCTTGTTTTTCACCAGCAGGCACAGGTTGTCATTCGTTTATGGATGATAGATGATTAACGGAAAACCTTTTTTTACCCATTGTATTGACGAGCTTCTGTATTTTGAAAGTTTGTATATTGGTGTATCTTCTGGACACTTAAAAGAGCAAAGTAATAACGCTATTTTTATCTATAACTTTTGATTCTTACACTGGGTCAAAAATTAATCCATTTTTGCTTCTACCTACTCCTCATTTTCTTATGTTGCTTTATGTAGTGGTAATTTGGCATTAAATATTTTGCTTTTGCTTCTTCAACTTACCAAATTAATAAATATACTTGATTTGAAAATATAGAGATCTTTAAAAGTAAACAATAGATTTTCTTTGAAACAAAACTAACTTTTGTTTTGTTCTAGAAAGTATGGTGAAAGAGTGTATAAAATGTTATGCAAAGACCGCATCTTCGACCTGTACTTGAGCAGGTACCTCGAGAGGGATGTCATAAGCAAAATGAAAAAACTCATGAGAACAGAGAATGGGCGAAAATTCTGACTTCACTTAGAAATAGTATATTTTTTTATTTATTTATTATACCTAGACTTTGTGGCTCAATGTAATAAAAAAAACGTATTTTTATAAAAACATTTATTCCTGTACATTTTGGCCTGTAATACTTTCACATCAATTGTTTATAAAACAGACATCAAAAAGGTGACAGATTAACAACAAAGATCTCTCCATTACAAATAAATTGGCAGTTTGTCAACTCGTCATATTGAAGTTCAATTCATTTCACCCATAATTCATGGAGGAATTTTTGATACATGAATATCAATGATAGTAACATACATACCACAGGAATCTCTTTATATATTCATCAAAACAAAAAGGGGAAGTAGAACATACAACTTGTATAGCGTTCTTCATGTTGATAACATGACATAACATTGATCATAAAATTCAATGCTACTTCACAGGTTTGAAGTATTTCTATATGTTGTATTTAAATTTGAATGATAAAATCAGTATTTAATACAATCACTTAGGTATAAAAAATTGTGTTTACATTCCATTTTTAATAATTAATAATTTCACTAGTCCATTTTACACTACATATAGCCATTCAATTTGAAAAATATTTTTGTATTATTTCTTAGATAATTTGAGTAACTTTAGAGCTTTTGAACTTTGAAGTATGCCAAATTTGATCTACGCAAACTTTGAGTATTTTTATTGGGACTCAACATCCTTGATACAATTTTTATGGTAAGAATTATAATCACACTTCAACAATATGGATACGAGGTGGGGGGTACATTAGATTATTCACAAGAAATGATTATGTCATAAACCAAAATAAAAATGTATTCAGTTAAATAACCTTTTTCTCATATACTGGTATTTTGAATCACTAACAATTCTTTTTTTTAAGGTTTACATATTTCTCAAAACACAACGGAATTGAATTATTTTGACAAAACATTATCAATCGTATATGAAAAAATGACTGATCTGGTGTTCTCTTGACCGACAGAAAAGCGAGTGCTATTTTCAACGAGAATTTTGTAATCCTTCATTACAAGAAAGTTTGTTGGAAAAACAATTTTCAATTATATGGGTTTATGAGTGGTTAGCGTGCAAAAACTGTATTTGTCATGATTTACAGAGATATTTATAGTTCTATTAGCCAGAAGATTTGTTTTCAAATTTTGTTTCATGAAATATTATTATCAACAATGTTCAATCAGGTTCAAACTATTCCTCCTTAGTACTCTTGCCATCGTGTAACAAGATTTCATCTTAATAATTATATATTGAAATGGGTTAATCCGAACATTGCAATTTGTCAACCTCTGACAGGCTAGGATATAGGTAAAGTTTTGTGTGAAATAACAGGTGAATGTTACAATGCTTGGTATGAAACCATGGAAAGAAAATTTATAAAAATAAAACAACTAGATATCCATTGACATATTCCAATGTTTTGACACCATAGAATTTGACTTCCAGAAACGGGAAATATTCAAAATTGGGATTTATTATTGGAAACTATGATATAACTTTGAAAGCTTGTTCTCTCATGGTGTTGTCTCTTAGTAACTTTGAGGCACAGAATCATAAATATATACTTACACAAAAATTTTGATTCACTTATAGAATGATAAAGTTGTTTTTATGGTAGAAATTCATTTGGCCTGCCCGGTACTGACGATGCCCATTAGGCTGAAACAGCTGTCTACTAGTGGCTCTTGAATTGGAATCAATGTGGGAATGATCAAAATAGTACTTATTTGTTTATCTTGAATATTATTTCATGAAATTTTAGTCACACCTTTTTAGAGGCACTTTCAATCCAGTGGCGTAGTGATTTTTTCAATAAAAAATCGCTAATAAAAAAACCCGATTTTCGACTAAGAAAAAATATCGTAGTATGCCCTGAAACTTTAATAAACATTTTTCTTGGATCGCAGGCGGCCATCATGTTTTTGGCGTCAAACATTTGTTGAGTAAGTTCTGGTACGGTGAGGGCTCTATACTGCTTACTACCCATTGACGTAAGTGGGGCGAATCCTGGCATGAAGAAGTGGAGACGCGGGAAAGGAACCATATTCACAGCTAGTTTGCGGAGATCAGCGTTCAACTGACCAGGGAACCTAAGACAGGTAGTGACTCCAGACATGGTGAGGGATACCAGATGGTTCAAGTCACCGTACGTAGGGCTTGTCAGTTTCAACGTTCTGAAGCAGATGTCATAAAGAGCCTCATTATCGATACAATACGTTTCGTCGGTGTTTTCTACAAGTTGATGTACGGATAGAGTGGCGTTGTAGGGTTCTACGACAGTTTCCGACACTTTCGGCGACGGTACGACTGAGTAGGTGTTCATTATCCTGTCGGGGTACTCCTCACGGATCTTTGAGATGAGGAGGGTACCCATTCCAGATCCGGTACCACCTCCAAGGGAGTGTGTGAGCTGGAATCCTTGTAGACAGTCGCAAGTCTCCGCTTCTTTCCTCACAACATCTAGAACTGAGTCTACTAATTCAGCTCCCTCGGTGTAGTGACCTTTAGCCCAGTTGTTTCCAGCACCGGACTGGCCAAACACAAAGTTGTCCGGTCTGAAGATTTGTCCGAATGGACCTGACCTGACGGCATCCATTGTTCCGGGTTCCAAGTCGACCAGTATAGCTCTAGGTACGAAATTTCCTCCTGATGCCTCGTTGTAGAATACGTTTATCCTCTCCAGCTGGAGATCGGAATCTCCGTGGTAGGCTCCAGAAGGGTCGACACCATGTTCATCGGATATGATTTCCCAGAACTGAAACAAATTAGATTCTTTATTAACTTTTGAATTCAACAAGGTATAATACCTCTAAATGAACATCACAAAAATATCAAAAACTGACACAGTTACAAGCTTTCGGAGGAAATTCAAATTATATTTTTATTATGGCTCTAAACTGACAAACAGCCCTTAAGCCCCTAAGCCCCACGCTTTTTTAAAACAAAATTATTTTTTTCATAAATAGATTTAGGTATTCTGATTACAGACTTATTGAAAGTCATTACTTACATCAAGCCATAGGATTCATTATCGATGTTGAACACAATCTTAAATTAGTTTCGAATTTCAATGGGCATATTTCAATATAAAATATATACGGATGCGCAAATAGTGTGGTTGTCTTACTTACTCTCACACAGAGACTGTGTGAGGAAATTATTTAATCCTGGCGATCCTGATCAGGATAATGAGATAAACTTATGAAATTATTGTATTGTCACCGATTTTTTCAAGTGTACAAAGTTTAAAATACATCTGTCTGTTTAAAGTTGGTCAAAATCGATTCCAAAGGAGTCAGTTACAAACAAACATACAAATGAAGCTAAAAAAAGTGTGTTGAAATAAACAAGAATTTTCCTTCAATATTCACTTCTAGGACCTTTTTTATTGCGAAATTAATAAAAAAAAGAAACAACATACTTTTATCATTATTTCCATGATTTTTAGATTAGGTTTAAGTGTCAATACATTTGAATACAAACATTATATACACCTAGTAACATCCATTATTTAACAACGTTTCTACGCCGACGACACATAACAACAAGATACTTGGTAAATAGATCAGGTAAGCTCACTCATTTCATTTCTACAAAACTATAAAAATTTCACTACAACTTTTTTCAGAGAAATAATCAGTTCTGAAGTGTTCCAATTCTTTTAAAATATATTAGTACCACTAGTGTCTGAATTATAACCAAATTATAATTTGTTCGAAGTTTCAAATATTTTGAAAATTACCCCGAGAAATCATTTTGGTAGAATATTTATGACTGGAACAAATTTTCCGAATAATAATTTAGACAAAAGTGGTGTATGGTAATGCCAGTTCAAAACCCTTTGCAAAATTCTCATGGATATTTTTGAAAATTTTGTACCAACATTTGTTTTGTATTTGATATTTATTTCTAAAAAAACAATTAAATAATATATTTCATGGTAATCGTAAAAAAATTTTAAGTTAAAAAATATCTTCTCCAAATACAAAAAAAAACTTGATATAAACTTTCCTCTATTTATCAATCTTTCAATTCACAAAACAAGCCTATGGTCGGCATGATATTTGCTTTCAAAGACAATGATTGAAATTATGCAGAGTCCCATTACAAATAACCCAATATGAAGTTTTTAAAAATTAATGATTGTATTTGTTGACATAAGAGGACACTTGTTTTTCACATATACTGTCCAGTTTATAGGATGCAAAAGTATAATTTATCAATAATGCATAATTTTGAAGCACACTTCATAAGCGTTGAAAGAAATTCAATTCAATTGAGAATATAATTGGTCTGAAAAATGAGTTCTCATTGATAATGTATTATAAAAAATATAAACACAAATAGTACAAAGTAGGACATATAGACAAAATAAATATGTGTAAATAACAATATAAAAACTTTAAAAAAATATATAAAAGCATCTAATATATAAAAATGAATGTTTGTTTGTTGGTTGGTTGGTTGGTTGGTGAGTGATAAATTTCTACATCGCTCAACCGATCGTGATGAAACTTGACATGTATAAGTAATCTTTCATAGAGAAGGTTTTTAGGCTATCAATTTTTCTGTAACTTGCCACTAGATGGCGCTGTAGAACAATGTTTTGAAAGCACTGTTCTATAACTCTGCGCACGCCTAAATTTGTTGATTCTGATTCTGTCAAAACATTGGAACAGCAGCGATACAGCAACATAGTACTCATTAGTACTACAACTACCAAATTCTACGCGGGCGAAGCCGCGGGCAACAACTAGTAGTTAATAAAATTAAATTAGTTACAGTTGGTCATAGTAGTTCAACCTATCATCATAAAACTCTGCTGAGCTGTAGTAAGGTCTTACAGAAAGAAAGTCTTTCAACTTTCTTGCCATTTATGACCCTCGTGGTTTCTGGAAGGTGGTTGAACATTTCAAGACCACTGTAAATAATTGAATCTTCAATTTTAAGGTCTAAGGTAACAAGAAAATTCATTGTCTGGTTTTATACCCTGTCTACCCAGAACAGCCAACTGTACAAAAATCAGTTTGTATCATTACCATCATACTCATTACCAAACAATACTATCTACCATCTCACCATGACGTGCACCCGCCTATCGCGTAAAAATACTAAAAATTCCCCAAATACTGAATCGAGACGATGAGACTCTTTTTTCCAGTCAGGATCATTCATCTCCATCCCTAACAACACCTAAACCATTGACATCAGAAACCTTCCTGATAACTTATCCACGCATAAGGACCTCTACAAATTTTTAAACAATAACGATATCTTCAGAGGTGAAGTACCCGAACTTAAAGTCAATTACAACCGCACAGCCCTCCTAAAAACCATAAATTATGACAAACAGCAGATATACTGCAAAAATCTACAAGATCTCACATGTAACTCCTCCATTCAGGTAATCAACCAGCGCCCCAAAACCGAAAAACTCCTTTCTTCGCGAACCCCCCACGTGTCCATCATCCGTGGGGTTCACCTCGACATCACAGTGGACGAAGTGATGAAATCACTAGAGGACTCCCAAATCTACTTCATTAAGATATGGAGAATAACCTCGAGAAGAACTAACCTCTTCACTCCCCTAATCATAGTGATTACTCTGGCAAAGACTATTACAACCGATGCCTATCGCACGGCATTTCCATCTATGGAAGGACTCACGATTGTGTTGCACCTGTCAGAGGAATGACTCTCGAATATAATGAAATACCCTTATTGAGGAAAATCACACCCATTGACAAAGTGCTCCAAAACCAACCCCCAAATGCCTCAACTATGACGAGGACCATCCAGCTTTCTCACTAAAATGCTCCAAAAGGAAGACCACCCTCTGAAAACCCCCTCCTTGCTAACCAAACAAATCCAAACGATCATCGAGCTTCAAACAACGCTCCTACTGAACCTTCTCCCCGATAAGAGGACCGAAATTCTCAAAATTACCATCTTCTTCTGCTCGTTAAAGCCGACCTAAATTGTCGAACCCTTCAAACCCAGGAAACCATATCCTACAAAAACCACAAATTTACCGACATTCGGCATTTTCCAAAACCTAATCAAACAATCTTCCACTCCCTCACTGAAATAAACTGGGGGTTTACTCGAATGAGCTGAGGACCCGACGGTACATGATTATGGGCGTTCAATCCTCGGTCCCGCAAACGCCTCCATACTGAATCCTTACTACATTTCCATAATATCCACATCATATGCATTACAGACACACTAGCCAGAAACCCTCCCAACTTCTCTGGCTACAACTATACACTGTTCTAGAGACGCCCACTTCCAACGGCATAGCCATGTTCATAAAACATATCCTTGCCCACAAAATACACAACTTCCCCCATAATCTCCAAAAAATAGATATTCTTGAAAAAATCTTTTCACTAACTCTGGTCCGATAATATTCATTGCTCTCTACAACCACAAACATCAAATCCTCCCCAGAAACCACAAACATTAAATCCTCCCCAGAAAAATCATAGAATAAACCGCCACCATCCTTAAATCATTCCTGTTGGGAGATCTTAACTGAAGACACACAATTCGATGACATGAGTTCAAACCTAAACGACCGATGTATTTCTAACTAATTATCAGTCCCGTGTCGGGACCCGACGTTCTTGAGCCAACAGAGGGCCTTGTTGATCGACCACATCCTTTGTTCCAAGAAACTAGTAGATGCCGTCGATGACAAGGCCCACACAGGGGACACAATCACGTTTGACCATCTTCCTCTACTCGTTAAAGCTGACCTAAACATTCGAACCCTTCAAACCTTGGAAACCATACCCTACAAAAACTACAAATTCACCGACATTTGACATTTCCTTATCAACCCAAAACCTTCAGCTACTAGGCAAATTGACCTACAAATCGACAAAATACAGGGACTAATTAACGACGCGGCTACACCAACAACAACTAGAAGATAAGATCAACCTCCACCCCACATAGTAAACTTCATACAAAACAAATGCAAACTATAAAAAATATGAATGTTCTATTCCAACAACAAACTGTTATTTTTAACACTTCGACACGTGTTTCAGTCACCAAGTGATTATATTCAAGAGAAAGATTGGACTGTTTAATCTTCCTCTTGAAGGTGATCACTTGGTTTTGAAAATAACGGTTTGGTGTTGGGATAGAACTTCAGTAATATTCATTACTACATCAAAGGTTCCAAACAGTGAAACAGGAACGTTTACTTATAAAGTAATTCGTATAGAAAATGTGGAGAGAGAAGACAATCAGAATAGACTGTAGGGGCGGAAATACCTTCTACAACCAGTTTAAAGTCTTGTCCAGACAAAAACCAAAAATCGACGGTAACGTAATTTCCTATCCTGCGGAAAAATCAGGAGCCTTCCGAAATGACCTAGCGAAAACGCTTAATCTACCACTGACGAACACTTTGACGATAAACACCTCAACACTTCACAACAACAAGTTCAAATCTCTTGAAAAAACACACAAGAAGCGAACTAACTAGGCAGACATTCCCGCTATATTTCCAGAGACCGAAATTGCCCCCTCAAATACTAATTTAGCGAGGAAGACATCCTACACGCAATCCACGCCAGTGGAAATACCGCACCTGAACCGGACTCAGTCAACAGCCAAGCCCTAAGAAACAATCTCGACACCACCCTCCCTTATCTCAGACACATCCTGAGTCAACACCACACAACGAGTTATAATCTCTTGAAAAAACACACAAGTAGCAAACTACCTAGGCAGATATACCAGCCATACTCCCATAGACCCAAATTATCCCCTCAAATCACAATTCAGCGAGAAAGGCATCCTCAACACAATCCACACCGGTAGAAATACTGCACCTGAACCGGACTCAGTCAACCGCCAAGCCCTAACACCACACAACAATGAGTTATAATATCTTGAAAAAACACAAGTAGTCAACTACCTTGGCAGACATTCCAGCCATATTTCCATATCCCCAATTTATTCCCTCAAATCAAAATTCCAGCCATATTCCCATATACTCAATATACTCAAATTGTCCCCTCAAATCACAATTCAGCAAGGAAAGCATCCTCAACGTAATTCACGCCGGTAGAAATACAGCACCTGAACCTTAACCAGTCAACCACCAAGCCCTAAAAACCTCCCGGACACCACACTCCCTTACCTCAGCCACATCCTGATTTAACACCACACAACGAGTTGGAATCTCTTGAAAAAACACAACAAATAGTCAACTAACTAAACATACATTCCGGCCATATTCTCATAGATCCAAATTGCCCCCTCGAATGCTTATTCTGCGAGAAAAATATTCTCAACGCAATCTACGCCGGTAGAAATACCGCACCAGAACCGGACTCGGTAAACAGCCAAGCCCTAAGAAACCACCCAGACACCACCCTCCCTTACCTCATCCACATCCTGATTTAACACCACACAACAATGAGTTAAAATATCTTGAAAAAACACAAGTAGTCAACTACCTAGGCAGACATTCCAGCCATATTTCCATATCCAATTTATCCCCTCAAATCACAAATCCAGCCATATTCCCATATACTCAAATTGTCCCTTCAAATCACAATTCAGCGAGGAGAGCATCCTCAACGTAATCCACGCCGGTAGAAATACCGCACCTGAACCATACCCAGTCAACCACCAAGCCCTAAAAACCTCCCGGACACCACACTCCCTTACCTCAGCCACATCCTGATTTAACACCACACAACAACGAGTTGAAATCTCTTGAAAGAACACAACAAGTAGTCAACTACCTAGGCATAGATTCCGGCCATATTCTCAAAAAAAAATTGCCCCCTCAAATCCTAATTCAGCGAGGAAGACATACTCAACGCAATGCACGCCGGTAGAAATACCGCACCTAAACCGAACTCAGTCAACAGCCACGCCCTAAAAAATCTCTCGGACACGATCCTCTCTTACCTCAGCTACGTCCTGATTTAACACCACACAACAACAGGTTGAAATCTCTCTAAAAAACACACAAGTAGCGAACTACCTAGTTAGATATTCCAGTCATATTCCCATATACCCGAATTATTCCCTCAAATCACAATTAAGCGAGGAAGGCATCCTCAACGAAATCCACGCCGGTGGAAATACCGCACCTGAACCGGACTCGGTAAACAGCCAAGTCCTAAGAAACCTCCCGAACACCACCCTCCCTTACCTCAGCCACATCCTGATTTAACACCACACAACAAGTTAAAATCTCTTGAAAAAAAACACAAGTAAGTAGTCAACTACCTAGACATACGTTCCGGCCATATTCTCATAGGCGAGGAAAATATCCTCAACGCAATCTACGCCGGTAGAAATACCCCACCTGACCCGGACTGTCAACAGCCAAGCCCTAAGAAACCTCCAGGACACCACCCTCCCTTACCTCAGCCACATCCTGATTCAACACCATATAACAACGAGTTAAAATCTCTTGAAAAAATACACAAGTAGCGAACTACCTAGACAGACATTCCAGCCATATTTCCATAGACTCAAATTGGTCCCTCAAATCACAATTCAGCGAGGAAAGCATCCTCAACGAATCCACGCCGATAGAAATACCGCACCTGAACCTTACCCAGTCAACCGCCAAGCCCTAAAATACCTCCTGGACACCACCCTCCCTTACCTCAGACATGCTGATTTAACACCACACAAGAACGAGTTGAAATCTTTCGAAAAAACACACAAGTAGTCAACTATCTAGGCATACATTCCGACCATATCCTCATAGATCCAAATTGTCCCCTCAAATACCACCCTCCCTTACCTCAGCCACATACTGATTTAACACCAAATCCTTATTTAGCGAAGAAAATATCCTCAACGCAATCCGCGCCGGTAGAAATACCGCACCTAAACCGGACTTAGTCATCAGCCGAGCCCTAAGAAACCTCCCAGACACCACCCACCCTCCCTTACGTCATCCACATCCTAATTTAACACCAAACAACAACGAGTTGAAATCTCTTGAAAAAACACACAATAAGTAGCGAACTACCTAGACAGACATTCCAGCCATCCCATAGACCCAAATTGTTCCTTCAAATCATTAGTCAGCGAGGAAAGCATCCTCAACGAATCCACGCTGGTGGAAATACCGCACCTGAACCTTACACAGACAACCGCCAAGCCCTAAAATACCTCCCGGACACCACCCTTCGTTACCTCAGCCACAGGCTGATTTAACACCACACAAGAATGAGTTAAAATCTCTTGAAAAAACACAACAAGTAGTCAACTATCTAGGCATACATTCCGGCCATATTCTCATAGATCCAAATTGCTCCCTCAAATCCTTATTCAGCGAGGAAGACATCCTCAACGCAATGCACGCCGGGAGAAATACCGCACCTGAACCGGACTCAGTCAACAGCCAAGCCCTAAGAAACCTCCCAGACACCACCCTCCCTTACTTCATCCACATCCTGATTTAACACCACACAACAACGAGTTAAAATCTCTTGAAGAAACACAACAAGTAGTCAACTACCTAGGCATACATTCCGGCCATATTCTCATAGATCCAAATTGCCCCCTCAAATCCTAATTCAGCGAGGAAGACATTCTCAACGTAACGCACGGACTCAGTCAACAGCCAATCCCTAAAAAACCTCTCAGACACCACCCTCTTCTTACCTCATCTACGTCCTCATTTAACACCACACAACAACAGGTTTAAATCTCTTTAAAAAACACACAAGTAGCGAACTACCCAATTAGATATTGCAGCCATATTTCCCATATACCCAAATTATCCCCTCAAATCACATTTCAGCATGAAAGGCATCCTCCCGGACACCACCCTCCCTTACCTCAGCCACATCCTGATTTAACACCACACAACAATGAGTTAAAATATCTTGAAGAAACACAACAAGTAGTCAACTACCTAGGCATACATTCCGGCCATATTCTCATAGATCCAAATTGCTCCCTCAAATCCTAATTCGGCGAGGAAGACATTCTCAACGTAATGCACGCCGGTAGAAATACCGCACCTGAACCGGACTCAGTCAACAGTCAATCCCTAAAAAACCTCTCGGACACCACCCTCTTCTTACCTCAGCTACGTCCTCATTTAACACCACACAACAACAGGTTTAAATCTCTTAAAAAACACACAAGTAACGAACTACCTAGGTAGATATTGCAGCCATATTCCCATATACCCAAATTATCTTCTTAAATCACAATTCAGCGAGGAAGGCATCCTCCTTGACACCACCCTCCCTTACCTCAGCCACATCCTGATTCAACACCACACAACGAGTTAAAATCTCTTGAAAAAACACAACAAGTAGTCAACTAGCTAGGCATACATTCCAGCCATATTCTCATAGATCCAAATTGCCCCCTCAAATCCTAATTCAGCGAGGAAGACATCCTCAACGTAATGCACGCCGGTAGAAATACCGTACCTGAACCGGACTCAGACATCAGCCAATCCCTAAAAAACCTCTCGGACACCACCCTCTCTTACCTCAGCTACGTCCTCATTTAACACCACACAACAACAGGTTTAAATCTCTTAAAAAAACACACATGTAGCGAACTACCCAGTTAGATATTGCAGCCATATTTCCTATATACCCAAATTATCCCCTCAAATCACATTTCAGCGTGGAAGGCATCCTCCCGGACACCACCCTCCCTTACCTCAGCCACATCCTGATTTTAACTCAGAGATTTTAACTCAGCAATGAGTTAAAATCTCTTGAAGATTTTAACTCATTGGGCAATTTGGATCATAGATCCAAATTGCCCCCTCGAATGCTTATTCTGCGAGGAAAATATCCTCAACGCAATCCACGCCGGTAGAAATACCGCACCTGAACCGGACTCAGTCAACAGCCAAGTCCTAAACCTCCCGGACACCACCCTCCCTTACTTCATCCACATCCTGATTCAACACCACACAACAACGAGTTAGAATCTCTTGAAGAAACACAAGTAGTCAACTACCTAGGCATACATTCCGGCCATATTCTCATAGATCCAAATTGTCCCCTCAAATCACAATTCAGCAAGGAAAGCATCCTCAACGCAATCCACGCCGGTAGAAATACCGCACCTGAACCTTACCCAGTCAACCACCAAGCCCAAAAAAACCTCCCGGACACCGCCCTTCCTTACCTCAGCCACATCCTGATTCAACACCACACTAGAACGAGTTGATATCTTTCGATAAAACACACAAGTAGTCAACTATCTAGGCATAAATTCCGACTATATTCTCATAGATCCAAATTGCCCCCTCAAATACCGCCCTCCCTTACCTCAGCCACATCCTGATTCAACACCAACAACGACAAACACAAGTAGTCAACTACCTAGACATACATTCCAACAATATTCTCATAGATCCAAATTTCCCCCTCAAATCCTTATTCAGCGAGGAAACACCCTCCCAGACACCACCCTCTCTTACCTCAGCTGCATCCTGATTAACACCACACAACAACGAGTTACAATATCTTGAAAAAACACACAAGTAGCGAACTAACTAGGCAGACATTCCAGCCATGTTCCCATAGACCCAAATTGTACCATCAAACCACAATTTAGCGAGGAAGGTATCCTCAACGCAATCCACGCCGGTAGAAATACTGCACCTGAGCCGGACTCAAACAGTCACGCCATAAGAAACCTCCCGGACACCACCCTACGTTACCTCGGCAAAATGATAAGTAACAGAAATATTTTTGAAAAACTTTACTCATTAAAACATTGCCATCGACAATTATCACATAGTTCTTGTTTCGACATGTGGTTAAGATCACAATTTCATTTGAAAAATATTTTGTGTTTTTTACTTCATGTTGTGTAAATCTTGTTTTATCACCAACCCTTTTTTCCTGTAGATGACAGTAATAACTATCAAAATATAAAAAAAAGAGTGTTATAATAGTACACATTTCTCTTGCTGCTTTCCCAAAGTTTTTGAAATTTATATCTCAACTAGTTAGAAAAGAATAACATGTAACAAACATACTTTGTTTTTTTAGTTTGAAATAAAATAAAAACAAAATATTATCTTTCCAGAATTACTTATATGAACTCAAAAATCGACATTTAGAAAATGTTAAATGGCATTTGCAAATCAATAAAAAGCTAACTGAAATTTAAGTTGAGCACAACTCAGATAAAAACAGATTTTGAGTACCATCTGTCTTTCAAGTCGGCCCTTAAAAAGTGCTATTACAAATTATGCATTATGGATAAAAACTTATTATGCATCCGTCAATTAAGCCTAGTATCATGAACAAAAAAGCACAAAATATATACATAACCCCATTCACCTAAAAAAAAATAAATTTGGTTGAAATCATACAATAACCGAGTGATTCAAAGTATTCATTAAAAACCTATGGTTTCATATATAGTACATTTATTCATAAAAAAATATCCAAGGTTTCCATAGCATGTTCGAGTTGCAATGAACTCAAAATAGATTTTGAAATCAACCTGGATCTATGATGTGAATATAAATTTTGCAATTACAATTTATCATTTTTGTGATTGTTAATGTCAAAAAGGTTTGAATTATAAAAAAGGTTGACCCTCAATAAATTTGGAAATTGTTGCCACAGTCAAATAAGTCACTGGACTATTGAGAATTGAAAAAACAATTATTTTTCATTATGCAAAGAACCTTCCAAAATCAATAACCAAGTGTTAACTGAAATTAATAAATTCCATTCAGAAAGCTTATACCTTTTACCTCCATACTATGTCTCAGTATAACATCTAAAAAACACTTATCTAAATGATTGTATGGATATGTTCAAGGTGGTCTATAGGTCAATTTGAAGAAAGCAATGAGGAACATTGCAGAAAAAAGATCAACAACCAACCCCATCAGCTGCTTCGCTTTTCACGTCTATGTTTACCCTGATAAATGATTATCTACATGTTTGAAACATCACTTTTTTTCCCAAGAATCCGGGTGGTGGCTCTAGTAGTGGTGTTCCTTTATAAATTCAGTGTGACTAGAAATGACGTTGGAAACTATCATATCTTCAATTTCTATCCCGCTCAACATTTGTTCACGGGTCAGACAGACTTCGAAACTAGTACTGGGTGTTACAAAAACTACCCTGGTCCGTCTGGTTTGGAGCAGGTTTCCAATGACCAACTGGAATGAAATATCCAAAATGATGAAATAAACAAAAATTAATTTCAATGAAATATTCATTATTAGAAAAATACAAACAAATGAGTAGCAGATTCAATCATATTAAATTTCAATAAGCTTCCAACCCCTGAAATTTTGTTATTGAATTATTTTATTACGATCATTAGGAGTAGTATTATTATGGTTCTCAGAGCAAGTCTTCACTTGTTTTGGTATGCATTGAAAATAGTTTTTTGAACAATTCTATCTAGGTGCTAACATTCAACGTCAAAAGATGACTATTGAGTGGAAATAGGTATATTTAAATTTTTCTTCACATTTGAGGTTTGTCTGAGACCAGAATATGAGAGAAAAAGTAGTTTTTGCGGCGGTTTTCAGTCAAGCATGTTTTTAAGATGACCTCATCATCCACTCTTCACAGCTTGTTATTTTAACATTGTAGTTTGTGTTGAAGGTGTACTTTGTCATTTGATCTGTGAATACGTTCAACGTTCACTCCACACCTATTCCAAAATTATTTGTTTTATCGATCCCTTGTAGCTAAGTAAATTATCATGTCTTGAACCACCCTTGCGCCTCATTATTGAAAGATGTAAAGGAGGTAGGTTCTAGAGGTGTACCAATGCTGCTTTTAGTGTGGTTCTCATTGCTCTCATTATTTCCAAGTCTTTGCATCTCATCTACTGTAAATATAGAAAGTGACTCAAAATAAAAAGTGGGAAATCTAACTTTTCTCCTGAGTTTGCAGCCACCATCAATCTACCAAAAGATATATCATCAAGACTAGTGGATCACGCTTTCTAGTTCTGTAATACAAAGAAAGGTCTTGTGAAGAAACTAGGCATAATCAGAAAATATCTTTAACGGAATGGTTAATGCCAAGCGATTGTGGAACAGACTTTGGCTAGAAGACAGCAAGAGCCACGTAAGGAAGAAAAGCTAGTGCTTGCCCTTCCCAACGTAAGGATAAGTAGAATTGGGTCCAAGTACAACTCAGCAACTCTTGATGCTTGATGCTTGTTCTCATGTATGGAGCTCTGCCCTTAAACATACCCTGAAGCTGCTGGATTCCATCCAGAAAAGAGCCATCCGCCTGATTGGAGAAGCGAACATCACTTGCATCCTTGATAGTATGGAACATCGAAGAACTTCCTGAGAATGTTTTTCCAAATGGATTTTATCTCCAGCAATTCAAATTCAATATGAATCGTTACTTTCGCACTGGCACCGCTCTTAGAGCGACTTGAGGATTTTCCTTTAGTACTAGTGTGTTAAGAATCACACGGTAAAAGGTAAGACCTTGTTAATCCTAAGCTCACACAACAAAACCTGTTTCCTTTTATTTTGTGGATTTTTTCATTTTTTATATTTATTATTTCATTTTATTCGTTATAGTGTATTTTCATTTCACGTTTTATTGCTTATATATAATTGACATTTTAGCTATTCATTCTGATTGTAATTGTTCTTTCATAGATTTAAATCAATGTACCTTATTGTCTAAGAGAAAAGACTCTTGTTGACAAAGCATGGTTTACATGTACAATACAATAGTATATGCCTATTAATTTGTCAGTGATTTATATAAAATGGTTGAAATTTGCAGATAAAAACAATAGATAATACATATATCTTTGGTCTACTTGTAAAAAGAACAAAACTTAAAAATAAATATATATAAGTAAAAATATATAAAATTTTTCTTCATTTTTCGATGAAATCACACATAAATATAGAATACAGATAATTTAATCTTATAGATAAAATGCAAGAAGCTACTGTTAGCCCAAGATACTGTCACTATAATACTCCTGCAGGCTGTAGTATCCTTTAGTTAAAAATATGCTTTTGACGGTTTTCTGAAAGATTCTCGGGCGTGATATATTTTTTACTTGGCTTGGCAGATGATTGAAGAGTTTTTTACTCTCAAATATGAGAGAGTGTTTGGTTAATGTCGTTTTTGGTAGCGGTAGGGGTAAGTCGTCTTTTTGATGAGTATTATATGGTCTTACAATTGTCATATTAGATTTTTTCTTATGCATCAAGCACACTGTCTCAAGGATAAACATACTGTATAGGGTCAGAATTCCATGTTTTATAAAAAGTGGTTTAAAGTGATCCCTGGACTTTTGCTTTTGATAAATATCTGAGAGCTCTTTTTTGTAAGACAAATACTGAGCTCATTAGCTGATAACAGCAAAAACTCCAGAACAAAATGCCATATATTAAGTGTGATTCAATGAGAGAAAAGTAAGCCATTCTGCCTGCCTTTGTTCCGAGTAGGATAACTCTGACTGCATAGCAGCCCGAGGCTAGGTTTTTGTTTATGGTCCTTACATGGTCATCAAATCGAAATTTATCATCAATGTATATACCTAAGAATTTTATGCTGGTATTATTATTTATGATTTGTTCATTCAAGGTCAGATTTTCATAATTGAACTTGAAGGTCAGGATTTTGGTTTTATTTCCGTTAAAGCAAAGATAGTTTAAGTCACACCAGGTTTTAACTTTCTGTAAGTCTAGAAAGATACGCTCTTTCAGAATTTCTATATCACTTCCATGCCATAGTATGGTGGTATCGTCTGCAAACATGATAAAGGTTCCATGTATATCAATCTTACTAAGGTCATTAATGTAAATAAGGAAAAGAATTGGACCAAGAACGGATCCTTGGGTAACTCCCCAGTTTATTTTTGAGATATCAGAGGACTAATTCGGCAATTTGACAATCTGATTTCGGTTCGAAAGATAGCTTGCAAACCAGTCGAGTGTCACTCCTCTGAATCCATAGCAATATAATTTTTTGGGCAGTACTCTATGATTAACACAGTCGAATCATATTAGACAATGGAAGTCCGAACTAGTAAAATTCACCATGAAACATTGTCAACCACTTTCAAATAAAAAAAAAAAACTTTTTGAGAAATTCATGCTGGAGAATTCTTTGTAGAGCTTCAATTATTCGTAGAGGAGGCTATCCAAAATCAATATACTTTTGTTACAAATGAATGAATATAACTATACTAGATGATACTTCTGCAATGGAACTGCTAGACTGGTTATCCTGAAAAATTGAATTATAAACTATAAAAGTAAATATGTCTTACCGCATGCTTATATTTGGTCAAAGCACCTCTGGCTTTGGAGATCAATATGTTTTCATCAGTTTCCAGTTTGAAAGACACCACAAACGCATGAGGTACCCACAAACTAACGAGTGGAGCCAACATTTTTGGAGCTAACTGAAGTTGAATATTTGGCACACCACTAGCTGATTGAATTTTATGTGTTGGCTGAAAAAAATTAATAGTGGAGTCATCTTAAGGAGATAATTTTAGTTTAATAAAGAAATTATGGTTTACCTTTCAAGGCCTTATTGATGCACGGAGTAAAATTTACTATAAACAATGTAATAGACAACTGAGACTAAATATATGTTTGTTGGGACTGCACATACGTATAAATAAGACCATTTATTCGTAGGTCACTCACATTAATAGAAAATAATTAACAAATATTCAGTAATTACTATCTCTCATGTACAGTTATTGAATATGATAGAATACATACGAGATCTGTTCCAAAAAGAAGGTGAATATTCAAATTTCGCCGACTACATATATTCAATTGGCGATTTTTTTTCATGTTGGTACACTCGTCTCGAACATATGTTCACAATTTCAGCTGCTTAGCACGTTAGTTTGTTGATGAGAGGCATAAAAGTTAGTGTTTTGCGTGTTCGGCAATTTTCTGCCATTGAAAGAAAAATGGATAAGAGAATTTGCATCAAATTTTGTGTAAAAAAATGGAATTGGATACTCAAAAAATACTTGAAATGTTTACAGTGGTATACGGTAATTATACTCTGAATAAGAAAAATGTTTACAAGTGGTACACACTTTTCACAGAAGGTCGAGGAGTTGTGAATGACGACATGCGCCCTGAACGCCTCAGCACATCAACAACCGATGAAAATGTTGAGAAAGTGAAGAAAATTGTTATGGAGAATCGTCGAATCACTATAAGAGAAGGTGCTGAGGATGTCGGCATATCGGTTGGCCTACGCCATGCAATGTTTTGGAAAATTTTGGGCATGAAGCGTGTGGCAGCAGAGTTCGTTCCAAAAATGCTGGATATTGACCAAAAAAACAGTCACATGACCATCACTCGGAAATTGGTCATAACTGGTGACGAAACATAAGTATACAGGGTGTAACTGAATAAGTATAAAACATTTAAGGATGTGATTGTTAAGATACGGCCCCTTGAAGGGGGTACATAAAATTTATATAACAATTTTTTTCACAAGCACTGAAAAAGTTACAATATTGAAATTAACCTGACGTTTTGTACTACCAAAAAGACACTTAGCCAGTAATTTATTTGGTTTACCCCATGGTTGTAAGGGGTGGAAAACGCAACCCCTAAAATTTATTTCCAATGTAACTTTTTGTCTTATTATTTGTTTACCATTTAAAAATGTATTTCCGATTGCTGTGAACTGGTTTATTTTGGGCAAAAATCCCAAGAGACATTTTTTGTTTAGAATGAAACAGGTTATTGGAAAAACATTTTTGAATGGTTAACAAATAATAAGACAAAAAGTTACATTAGAAATAAATTTTAGGGGTTGCGTTTTCCACTCCTTACAACCATGGGGTAAACCAAATAAATTTCTGGCTAAATGTCTATTTGGTAGTACAAAACGTCAGGTTAATTTCAATATTGTAACTTTTTTAGTGCTTGCGAAAAAAATTGTTATACAAATTTTATGTACCCCCTTTAAGGGGCTGTATCTTAACAAGGGATGATCCAATGAAATTTCTTTATATGAAAGATTCTACCTTTCTTTCTTCCCTAAATGTTTTACACTTATTTAGTTACACTCTGTATAGTTAATGACATCGAAAGCAAAGTCCACTCGTCTGAATGGAAGAGCCGAGGTTAAAAAAATTAAGCCAGGTTCGACCAAATGTCGAGGTTTTGCTCACTATCTTCTTCAATTACAGTAGCGTAGTGCATCATTGATTTCAAAGTTATTTATATTTATGTACAGGCAATCAACTCTTGCGTTTCTGAATGTACTCATTAATTTTTTATCAAATATTAGAAGTGATTTGAGTTTTAACGTGTTTTGGTAATTTCACATAGTCTGTAAGACCTTTGTAGAATAATAACTTCATTCAACTAGTGAGATTACATTTAGGTAAATAGAAACTGTTGCCATTCTCTTTTCTAGTATCGTAATCATTCATCACGTTTTCATCTGTGATAAATTCTACAAGATATAACTAGTATAGGATCCCAGTATGAGACGACCTTCACCAGCTGGTTAATGGATGAAAAGTATAAATTGATTTGAAATCCCTGAAAGAATCTGTAGAAAATTAAAAAGAGATTAGCTGAAAAATAAGGAATATATTAAGCAAAAAACTGAAATAACAATGAAATAACATACAAGCAACAACCAAAAAATTTGAACTATTAACACGAGCTGGAAAAAATAAAATTATTAACAAGAAATGAAAATTAAAAGATTCCAAACCCAGATACTTCACGACGTTTGTTGTTAGTATCCACAATCGTCTTCGGCTGATAACTGAACTTATTCCTCCGAGATCTGACTATTTATAGGTCATTCGAGTGCTTTCACCTAGCCCTTCTTCCCTCTCTCCGCTTTATCAGTTTCAGCGGGAGCAGACCGTTTGGAGGGAGTTGGTTGTGTACCGCTTGATTAGAGGTTTCCACATGTTACGTATCTCTACGCTGGCTTGGCTAAATGCGTTGTTGGACAACATACAGTGCCTTCATTTCTAAACTTCCCACCCCTAGTACTTCGTTTAGCAGGGAGAGTTTGCCGTAGGCAAAAAACACATCAATTTAGATATCAAGAGGGAAGTTTAAAACCAGTACCACTGGTATTTTAGGTTTAACCCCCTTACCCCTAGCTACCCCACTAAATAATTTTAAATGACACCCCTATCTTGTAACACATTATTTTGCCTGCCAAACGAAGTTCTAGGGGTGGGAAGTTTTGAAATGAAGGCACTGTATATGCGGCTTCTTTGAATTTTCTCCTAAATCAGTGTTTTTCCTTGTGGATGATTACAGCTTAAGCCCACTTGATGTTGATGAGTCCAAACATGCTCTGCTATTCCGGATTTGCTGCTTTCTCCTCGCTGTGTGTGTTCTGCAGGTTCTGATGTTATACTTGAATCCAATCCTTCTTATCCTTTTCGACAATCCTCTGATGTAGGGAAGTACAAGTACTGGTTGTGGCTGCTTCTCTTCCTTGTGGAGCTCTTGCTGTCTTCTAGCTAAAGCCTGTTCCACCATCACTTTGGAGTAATCATTCCTGTCTCCACGGACGAGTGGATGGCGCTTATATTTGGCAATCGAAGGCGCTGGAAAATGCCTTGGAATTTCATCGAAGCCGGTAGCATTAATCTCGCTACATCTAGAACGGCAGCGAACAACGAACATTCGCGCGTTGTTACGGTTAATGGTTACCAGTGGTGGCGGGCGTTATTTACTTTAGGGAATGATTTACAACAGTATTTCATATCAAATTAAATATGTCATGTGCAAGGGTTGACTGAAAAATTTCAGTCTAGAATATGGTCAATTAACAATTTGAAAATTATCATTTTTTAAACATTTCACTGGTTTGGTTAATAGACAAATTTCATAAAAATCGAAAGCATGAAGCCCATAGAATATGCAAACATTAAGTTAACTCTTTTTTTTCCGTCACAACTCTTGGGTAGGCAGGTGCAAACGTTAAGTTAACTCATTTTTTTCCGTCACAACTCTTGGGTAGGCAGGTATAAACAGGGAAATCGATACTAGTAATTTGCACTGGTCTGGTTAATTAATTAAATTTGGGTCAAAATACAAAAATCAGTCCTGAATTCCATTTGCCGAGTTTTAAAAAGTGAAGTATTACTACGATTGGATACGTGCGACAGAGGAGTCCCAGCAAACCATCCCATGCAATAGATGACACAGCATTGCAGCTGTGTAGTTCGTCCATTGAATGAAAGAGAGTGTGTATGCTATTTGTCCGTGAAAATGAAAAGGATAGTGATAGACTCTAAATGGTTTCATCATTTTGGAGTTTAATAAATCAATTATATATGTGTGTATATATTTTATGTGACATCTTTAGTAAATAAAAAGGTAATAGTGATACATATATAGTACTAATCTTAACTAATCTCAATAATTTTATTTCTTTCATCAGCAGACAAAATAAAAACAAACAAAGCAAAAAATGCACACCCAAGTCAACCACCAATAGGTGGTTCCACTTATGTCTTGCTTGCGTTTATGCAGTTATTTTTATTATATACTTTTCTTCATTGTTCACATTTTGTCTTCAATTGAGGAGCACCTGCCAGGTACTGACGATGCCCAATAGGCTGAAACAGCTGTATATCGGTGGCTCTTAGATTGAAATCAATGTGGGAATGATGTTGTATTTTATACAAAAATTCAATTGTAATAAAATATAAATACAAAAGTTTTTGAATTAACAAATTATTCAGCATCCGAGTCATCAGACGTGAAGTGTGAACTCCAACTTCAGAACATTCTTCGTCATCACTTTCTGTGAAGTGCTGGTTAGCTCAATAACATCGTATTTAAAGTTTTTTATTTTACGAGAAGCTAACTTCTATCGCATGGGATGGTTCGCTGGGACCCCTCTGTCACACCCTGCCTACCCAAGAGTTGTGAAGGAAAAAAAAATAGTCTACTTAACGTTTGCATATTCTATAGGCTTCATACTTTCAATTGGTATGAAATTTGTCTTTCAACCAAAACAGTGAAAAGTTTAAAAAAAGTATTCTCAAATTGTTAATCATATTCTGGATTGTAATTTTTTAGTCGACTCATTTGCAATATATTCATTGATATATTTAATTTGATATAAAATACTTTTCATCCATTAACCAGCTCGGTGAAGGTCGCTTTATACTGGGATCTTAGACTAATAGGAAGGGGATGATTCAATATAGTGAAAACAAAAACACTGGATATTTTATAAAGTCTGTCAAAAAAAAAACAACCATTGGAGTGTGGTGAACATCAGAGACATTTTTATGAATCTATTACACTTCTGAATGATTTAAGTACCTGTGTTTTGTAATTTTTGCAGTGTTGACATTTTATTTAAATCGAGATTACATACAAAACAAAATGAGGAAGAGTATGAAATGTATACCTTGCCTTGCCTTGATGATAATTATTAATGAATTCAAACTGTGTTTCATAGTTCCATAATATATACAGAATGAATAGTCAATATATAGTGGATCGGTGGTGATCCAACAAACATTTTGCAGAGGGGTGTCAGGTTAATGAATTTGTCAGATTAAAGAGTAGTACTGCCTAAGACCCTCTATGGTCAAGAATTTTTTGACATACAATACCATGTTATCTAACAAATTACATGTAGAGAACAATAGCGATGGCGCATACAAGTTAAAAAATCGTATGTACAATCAACAGTGATAGGCATGTTGGATCAAACAGGGCATCGGATTAAACAGAGTCTGGAATACCATGGGTCCAATGTAAAGGAACTTTATAGATCAAAAATCTGTGAATTGAAAAAATCATAATCGACACAATGGAATTCCCTGCTGAGGTCACAAAAAATTCCTAAGGGACACACTCTTGCCTCAATATGATTTGAGGTATTTTACAAAAATGAGAAAACAGATTGGTGTGTTTTAACTTCAGATTTGTAATGAGCGCGAGCCATTAAAATGAATATTCACCCAAGAAATAACCAAAAAAACTGAGTCACTTACGATCTGGCTTGTAGGAATATAAAAATCTGAAACAGCAGCAGCTAAATATAATAAGGCTGTTGGACCGCAGCTGGCCAAGCATTCACAAGCAGCTCTCAATAACCAGAAATAATCAGAAACTGTGGTGAAGTTAACATATAATATTCTACCACTTTCTTGTGCAGCTTTGTAGCTAGCCAGTACTGGAGCTAAGACATCGACACTATCTGGCTTGACTAAAATTTGAACCATAATCAGAAACAATTTGGACGCAATAAATCTGTCTATTTACCTGTAATTGTTGTATTAGGTCCCCTATCATCTAATTCAAGCATATCCAAGAACTTCTGTCCACCAAAATGCCTGGTGAACGGTTCTAGAGACTTTAGTCTGTGTAAGAATATCACAGCATAATTTTGTTCGAGGAAGTACTCTGCTGAAGCTGCTCCTCTAACTCCACCACTGAAATTATCCACGAATCTTACCGTGTTGTGTTCTAGTGGTACTGTCGTACCGCCAGACTAGAAATAAAAATAAATAGAATGTTCAGGTGAAGAGGAACATAACCACACTTTAAAGGTAACTCACTGTTATCAAAACAATTCTTTGGCCAATTTTGTTGTGTCTTTCACAAAATTCCCTCAACAGTATCCGATTGTCTTCAAAATCAGTCGGAGGAAGGTGAGTTGAATAGAATTCTTCCCAATGAAGTGAATTGTCCACAGATGCCATTTTGTAAATAATATTTATAATCTGGGCCCTTAGAAAATTGTTCAAAACTGTTCTCCTTAAAACTCGGTACTTTATACAAATCGTTCGAATATTTGAATTATATTTCTTTCAATAAATCCTCAACATGATCGAGAACAGTCACTCTTTCAACCTTTCCTCGACATAGATTTCATTCTCTTTAGTCATATAGATTACAAATACGGTCAGATTTTGATGCGCAAATATATCTATCCACGTACTCGTATTAATCTTTATGTATCTGTACCGGCATAAAAGATATATTTCTGCAGTACAGTTAAAATTCTCCAGTTTCAGTCGAAAAACAGAAAAATTATATTTTATTTGAAATGAAATCTGTAGGTTATACAAAAGGGCGGGATTATCGATATTTATATTTCAAAATATTGCAACCTGTTGTATTTTATAATCTACAGGTGACTTTATAAAATATCAAGCCTATAAAGAATACAATGGAGTATTAAAAATATTGCCTATAGATATCTGCCTTTGAAAGTATTGTTTCAATGAAAGAATAGGTATGTGAAGAGTTGAAGTATTATGTGAATCCAAGGATTGCTCAAAGCTATGAAGTGAAGACCTTGGCAGCCATATTAAAAAGTTTCCTTTTTCGAAAGATCAAGTCGATCAACAGGAGCTTGATAACAAATTTGAAAATTGTTATTGAGGTTCTACTCATTTTACCATTCTCCATTGCTTCTGTAGAAAGATTATTCTGTATCTTGACAAACATCATCGAAATAAACTGGAAACAATCGTCGGTTGGGGGTGTAATTAACTTCGAATCAACCAAAGAAATGTTAAGAAACAAAAAATCTGACTTATTTTTGACTTGAGAAATAAATATTAATTATTTATTTCGTTTACGTAAATTATTGAATTTTATGTTACCTAGAGACATTTTTCATTTTGTTCATTTTATTTTCCATGAAATATATCACATTTTATTTTGGAATATATTGTGATATAAATATTTTTTAGTTATTTGAAGATAATTTGTTTTTTGTATAATACTTTTTTATTTTAATATTTGTTTTATGTACTTGGAAATGTCAAAGTATGCATAATTTAAGAGAAAAAGGAGTTTTGGAAGCTTTAGCATAAAAAGGAGTTAAAATACTGTTATTTTGAAATAGCGTGCGGGTAAAATCGGGTATTTTGATTGGATGGTTTGGGCATTTTATAGATATGGCATTTTCAACATTGGTTTATAGTCGAAATATTTCGAGGTTAAAGTCCGAATTTTTAGATCGATGTGGAGATTTTGAGTTAGAATTTCGAAGTCGAAATTTCATGTTCAAGTAGAAGTATTGAGTCATGAAGTCGGAATTTCTAAGAAACAAAAATATGTAGCCCTTGCACACTTTCATAGAAAATGACCATTCATTATCAAAGAAAGGAAAGCAAAACATCAAATTCCTATTTATACTTAGGTACATGGATGGATATGTTTACACAACTCTATTAGGTACTATCGCCATGATAATTACACAATTTTCGTTCTTCACGAAACTACAAAATGAAGTCGCTTCCCGCTGTCTGTTTGTCTGTCTGTATGCTTAGATATTTAAAACTATGCAATGGATTTTGATGCGGGTTAATATCCCCGATGGTATATATGTCTATCTCTTAGGGATAACCTAGAATAATCATTTTTATCCTCGAGAAATGTATTATTTACGAAGCGATTTTAAGAATCCTTTTTAATTAATTCTTATTAATCCTTATCAATTAGGTATTTCAAATACATTGTGGATTTAATATAGAATAATATGGCCCTTCACAGCATGCAATTTAAATGAATATTTTCAAAGATATTACAGATTTAAAATGCAGGGACATAGCGGGTGAGGCGGTACCGGCCAGTGGCGCGTGCCAATAAATAGCGTTTCAAGGGCCACGCTTCGCCCATTCGCCCAATAGCACTTTATAATTAGCAGCGATCGCACGCGTTTATATTTATATTTAGTAGAAGCATTGCACCCGTGCGGAGCCGGGGCGGTTCGCTAGTAGGTTAATATATTAGTCCAACAGATGAAACTACTGTGTAGTGAAACGCGTCTTGTATTAAATTTGAATTGTGTAATTATTATGGTTAGTGTTATCAGTTTTCATCAAATAACTTCATTGAATATTACTGGAGTTTTATCCCAACACCAAACCGTTTATTTAACACCTCGACACGTGTTTCAATCACCAAGTGATCTTCTTCAAGTGGAAGATGATTACTTGGTTCAATCTTCCTCTTGAAGATTATCACTTGGTGATTGAAACACGTGTCGAGGTGGTAAATAAATGGTTTGGTGTTGGGATAAAAATCCGGTAATATTCATTAGGTACTACACCAAAGGTTTCAAAAGATCTACCTTGGCTGAGCAAACATGAAGCTCAGTCTGATATATCACATCTTCAATATCCCAATTAATTAAACTATACTAGAAATTATTTAAATTTACTTTTCAAGAAGGCAAATATGTAGATGTTTATAGTCTTTGAGAATAAAATTCTACAGAAACCATAAAAATTTGCACATTTTTTTTCTTTCGATTGACTTGTTTCTGTTCTCCCTGATTTAACGTTTCTATTTATAGAAATACAGAATCTTTCAAAATATTGTGCTTTTGCAAACACCAAAATTAAAAGCAGAGTAAGGTGCAGTTACTGAAAAAAGTAGGACCAGTATGGAAAAATCAAAAACCATAAGAGATTAAAGTCTGTCAAATTAGGAAAAAGTTGCCTACTTATGAGCTTATTTGAATGACGTTTGAAAATTAGGGAAATTTCTTTTAGTGTGAAACGTCAGTGGTTGTCTCCAAAAGCTAGGACTTCAGAAGACCAGCTACAAGTACTCTTATATTCCGTCACTTTTGAATTCATCTACCTTAGAATACCACCTAGCCGAAATTGACTCAGTAATTCTGCATAAAATTATTAATGGTGATATAAGTTGTCCAAGTTTAATGCAACTGATTAATTAAACCAGAGTGTTTGGTTGTTCCTCGCCATGGTTTTAGTAATGACTTAAAAGAATCCATTTCTGGAATACTTAGGCTAGCAAACAAGAATAGTGTCACTAATGATTCAGTTCATCCAAATCAGACTGAAACATATCACCCTACTATGAAGGAAATATTATTAATGAGTCAATATTTATGTAACTGGGCGATATTTTCCATATAAAAATATTGGTTACGGCAACTTGGAGACGAAACACCAAATTGAATATTGAAGGAGTCATTTTTGTGGAGGAAGTTTGAGATTTTATCAACCTTCTTTGGGTATTGCCATTGCGGGAAGAGAAAATATCCAAAGAAATTCTATAAAAAATCTGTAAATGCAATCATTCAGTATCAGTAAGTATTTTTTTGTTTTTCAATATCTTTTTGAATGATGATAGAAAAAATTAAACGAGATCAGAATTTCTCTTTCACTGTTTCCGATTTCTCTATGATGGCCCTCCTTATGTTGGACTCAGCATAAACTGAAGGAACAATAAGGGTTGATAAATATTCTGGGCATAATAAAAGCATAATCCCTACTTTATAATTTAATTATAGTTTTAATAACCTCTACGAATATACATTTTGGGGGTCCTAGTACTTTGGGGCAGGACTTTCCAAATTGCTGTAATCCACATTTGGTGAATAGAACTGAAAAAAACATCAAGTGTTACTTATGCCTAGAAAAGAACATTGTTACCCTTACTTTGTATTGCTTCTTTCTGAATTCTTCATTGGAAATTTCTCCTGAAGAACGATTCCACTGAACATCTGGATTTCTGGTGGCTAGTCTCAACGTGTAGAAAATTGCCCCAGCGCATCCCACGCCAATACAGAAATATAGGGGGATTAGCTGGAATAAAAATGGGGATTCAATAATGATGACATAACACTATGATCCGACTTTGGATTCATTTATCGAAAAGGAATGTAAAAATTGTGTATCGAAATACTCACGGCTTTGTGTTTTTTCAACGATTGTATAGACATTCCCTGCATGATAATAGTTACTTATTCTTCCTTTTGGAACTTAATTAAAGTATAACAGCAAGAGCAAATTCCGTTTCTGGCACTTAATGTCAAAGTCAAAATTTTTGGACAGAATCCATAGGCAGTATAACTATTGAACTGGTCGTTCCATCACTTTGTTACTTGATATCTCACGAACTACATTAGAGCATTAGAGAAAGAGAGAGAGCATAAAAAGATGAGATGACATATGACTTAGGCGAAATTATAAATGAATCCTACATGAATTTTATGCAAACAAAAAAGAGAAAAATGAAAAATATCACATTTATATAATAATTTCTGCTATAAAAACGAAGTATTCTGAAGAACTCTTAAAAAAACTCTCATAAATTCAAGAAAAAACGACATTCAATTTATTTATTCAGTTCTCTTCTAATACTCACTTTCCTTCTGTCAATATTATTCTATTTCAGTTAATGACATTCTGCGTGCCTTTTCCGATGCCTTCTTTATAAATGAAAAAAAATTGAAAATTCCTTTCATTGGCGGTGCCAATAACTGGGATCATACTATAATTTCTAGGTAGGTATACATTTCAATGTTGGTCCACGAAGAGGCATGAGAAAGTTGAAAAAGTGGCTTCAGAGTTCCATGCTCACTTCGAATCGAAAGTGGCAATCACAACACCACGTTCCAATATTCTGTGGCAAAACGGTCAAATCGAAATCTGCCTTCACAGAAGTAACCTATGTTTTACTTTCATTATTTGTTTGTGTGGTTTATAAAATAAATGAAATATAGTTTCGATAAAATGTTCAATGATGAAGACGTTTTATCTTGTGAATATATAGACATTTATTACAGATCACAAGGTGATGGTTCAGAAAAAAAATATACAAAATCAAAATTACCAAGTATACAAAAATCATTTGCGGAATTGATGAAAAAAATATGTCACTAATAAAAAAAAAAGCTTTGAAAAATAAAAATTTTCAAGTCCTACCTACAAACAATTTTTCTCCAGTTACTTTGTTATAACCCGATTTGATCATATAACCATCATATTATCAGGTTTTACCAACATAACCTTTAGAAACATTGCAACCTACTTGAATTGAAGGGGTTATATTTTTAGGAGTGATTAATTTTTGAGAAAGTAAGTTTTTGGCTTTCTACTACTCCATCTTGATATAAAAAAAAAGGATGAGGGAATCTTCCAAAGAAAGGAAGGAAGTATTCAATTCGAAAATAAATAACTCTATACATGGATGTGTAGATCATGCAAAGAAGTAACTTTCAGACACAAACTGAAAGAAAGTCCTTGAAACAGCTACTTTCATATAAACATTGAATTACACGAAAGAAAAAAATTCTTTCGAAACAAATACTTCTATATGAACACTGAATTATACAGAAGATACTTTTCTCTACCCAGTTAGTATTTCAAACATTCGTTGTGGAATAAAAATCAGATATCATTCACATGAGTTCTACTTTAAATGAATGGTAACAAATTGCACTTACATGGAACACTGTCATCCTCAGTGGTATACATCGATGTTTTATCCTTTTTTTTGTATCAAGATGGAGTAATAGAAAGCCAAAAACTTTCTTTCCCAAAAATTGCAACCCACTTTAATTTCTGAATCAATAGGACCACAACTTTCAACTCTTCAGGGATGTTTTGATATTTATGAAATTAAAAATAATTAATGAATAGTATTGTTTATTTATTCTGAAATAGAAAAGAAACTAGAATAAACTAACTGAATAAAATTAACTAACCAATTTAAATCTCGCATAGAATACCTTACATAGGTCAGTTATCATACCAAATTAATGACATAAATCATATACTGATTCATTGGAGAAAATCTTCGAAGAAAATTTGATTCAAATAAACAAGAAAGTATAATGACCCGCCATAGGTCTCATCAGTGGTATAAGGCTGAACCACAAATGCAAATGCACTCAATTGTCCTCAAAAGACAAACCTGAGTAAGAAAGGGCGATGCCATCTTCCCTTATAAAGACGCAATTTATGGGATCGACAAAGAACTCAATCTTTAAATATCAAAGATAAACGAGGCTCTCCAATGTCGTCAGCTTCAAAGCCAAGCTGCGAAATCGACCGCCGACGAGATTTGTCCTGTCTTTTACTGAAATCATAGGTCAAATACAACTCATTTTTGTTTCAACACCAGAAAGTGCTGTTCCAACCCGCCATAGGTTCCATCAGTGGTGCTAGGCTGAACTACAAATGCATTGTTTGACTAAACTGTTCTTAAAGGACAGCTGCAGTGAAAGACAGAGGACGAAATTCGTAGGCAGACGATGTGATGTCAAAGTTTTCCAACTCACTGCCTTGGGGAGCCTCGTTTATCATTGATATTTTCGAGGATGGAGTTCTCTGTCGTTCCCATAGATGGCGTCTTCGCAAAGAGAGAGTATCAGGATAACTCTATCTGTTGGACTAACTAGACTATACTCTTCTTGGTAAATGTATCAATGACTATGAAGAGACGAAAATTAATAAGTTTAGCAATGTCCTTATAATACCACATTTTCTTATTTTGTATATGTACAATGGTTATAAATGTACTTGATTGAATTATATTTCAATGGATTTTTCAATACTGTATAAAAACAAAAAAATCCTAAAAACTATCTCATTCACTTGGATGTATGTATAATGCCTCTTGCTCGCACCTGAAGCTACCCTTTAAATTTGTCTGGCAAAGTGTTCAACTATCAGGATTCTGGAGAATCACCTCCAAATTGTCACTCAAATGTATATATAAAACTCAGTTACATAAGTATAGTTATGATTTATTAATGTGCCAAAGCCGGCATGCTGAGAAAATATCAGTTTTTATAAATTAAGGAACGTCTTGCATTTTTAGACTCTCAGGCTAAAAGAAATTGTTCATGGTAAACTATTTCATTTTTAAGCGTACACCTTTAATTACAACATGAAGAATGCATGATAGCAAATAAAATGAAAAATGGTTCTAGTAAGTTCAGAACTACCTTATATTTTGAAAAGTTATAAACGTCTCTTTACTACTGTAAATCAATATAAATTCAGTGTCCTAGTGATTTGGTTGAGGTGCTTTCTCAGAATAATCAATTTGGTCTTCCTTGTTATGAGGCCAGTAGGTTGGTCTATTGATAGGATCAAGAGCTTCTTCAGGATAAGCATCACGGTAATCTTCCATAGTCATTTGATCATATGGGATGAGACTTGCAATATGGGCCAACTGCTTCTTGTACTCTTCAATTCGGGCATTCGATTCAGTTTTGAACTTTGCAATATCATTTTTGATTTCCTTTTCTTGGGCATCAATCTGAGAACTTACAGTATCGGCTGGGAAAGGTATCGTTAGTCCTCCATATTGTTTCTGGAAATCATCTACCATGCCAGCTACTGGAACTCGGGATTTATAAAATGCCCAATCAATTACTGGAGGTTTTTCTGGATTTGCCATTACCCTTCTTAGATAGGCATCTGATTTTGCCTTGAATGCCAAAAACTGTGACCTTTGACTCTCTGGAACTCGTTCACTAAGGGCCGACCAATTGATGGAGCTTTGAGTAATTCTTCTAGAAGCCATTTTTTGTTAATTTTTCAATGATTTTAATGAACTTTAATTTTCGATTATGTAAACGATATTGATGATGTATTCGACAGCAGACCACAGAACTGATGAATGAAGTTATTCAGTAACAGTGTTGCCATGTTGCCAATGGAAATGACACAGAATACTCCAAAACTAGGGACAAAATACTTGTGTTTTACTCTCAAGCTAATAAAATACTAATAAAATACTCGCACAGCTTATTCTATTTTAGTGACTTTTGAAAACTGCGAAGTTAACTGATATATTGATAATGTATACTTCATATATGTGTGATTGATGACTTGTTTATTTTATGGTAATTCATTCACCAGTGGTAATTAGACAAAAGTGTTATTATACGTCATATACCTGTTACAATTCGAAAATATTTATAAAAAAACATATATTTTCACCAGAAAAATCTTGTAGAAATATTTAAATATGTACATTATATAAAAATGAAATATATTTGTTCTGAGCGGAGTGTTCATTTGAAAACTTCGCCTCTTAAATAACTCGAAATCCGAAGATATGAGAAAAATTGCCGAATCACTTAAGAATTGAGTTGATGAACAACCTTCTAGAAAACATTGTTCCACTACTTTTCACGTTCTGTCCCAAAAACATCTCAAATACGAAGAGGTACCTAGTGATTTCTCATTTGAAGAGTCTTTAAACGTAAATCACCAAAGCATATCATGCATCTCATCAAATGCCTCGTGTGTCATGTTTCACTGACAGATGATATGTCAAAGTAACTTGAATAGAAAGGTTTAATACCAGTTCTTACATTTCATTGAGCCCTGCTCTGACAAACTATATAACATAACATCAACCACATTATCAGAACATAGGTTTTCACTGCCTGAGTCGAGATGAAAGAGAAGAAAATCCGGGCTACTAGGCCGACTGGAACCTAAAAAACTAAACGTTTCGTCTGCGACTGCGGCATACATCATCAGTGGCATCAAAGACCCCTAGATACCACTTTTGTATGAAATCACATAATACTATCAAACCTCAATCGTAATTATAAATATTCATGATTTCCAATTTAATTTTAACCCAGTAAACCATGCGCGTTATTATAAAGACATACATAAATAAAAATCTAGTAGGTGGTAGAAAAACTGGCCTCATTTTCATAATCATTGATAATAAATCAGATTTCCTGTAGGAACTTTATGAACAGAATACATTTTCACCTGAAATGATGTATTTTATAAATATAAAATATTATACCTCCGATTATCAACTAAATCAACCGACACTGTTTTATGGTTCAATTTACGCTAGTTGCACACACACCGATTTTGGACGGCCAGTATAAAATCTACCGATATTTTATTGGTAGCGGGTGCTTGCACTCACCGGAATTTTATTGGTCAAACAATCAGTTGCTTTGTTTGAAGGTGATTGACAATGTTTCATGATGAATTTCACTAGTTCGGACTTCCATTGTCTACTATATAAAATGATTTGAAATCCCTGAAACAACTAAAAAAGGAGAATCAAAAATGAGATAGCTGAAAATAATAATTATATTAACCAAAATAAACCTGAAATGAAATAATAGTGAAATAAAATACAAGTAAAAACAAAACAATTGAATAAATAAAAAATGGAGAAATGAAAAAAGAAAGAAAATAAAAATGAAAAGTGAAGAGATTCCAAGTCACGTTAGTTCACGACGTTTCGATTGTTAGTATCTACAATCATCTTCGGGTGATGACTGGACTGATTCCTCCGAGAGATGACTATTTATAGGTCGTTCGAGTACTTTCACTTATCCCCGCTTTCCATTTTCCGCTTCACTGGTTCCGTGGGAGATGACC